AGCTCTGCTGGGCTAAAACCTGTTAGTCGGCCACATAGCTGCCTCCTTGGGCCTGGCTCGCTGTGCTCAGAGCACTTCAGGGTCTCAACTGAGGGACGGAGGTGAAGGTTATATTTACTTTTAAGTGTTGATAGGTGTGTTATTCAACACTGTTTTCCAGTGCTTGAGGTGTGTTCCCCCCCACCCCGGGATATCTGCTTATTGTTAGCCTTACCTTGGAAAAGCATTGTATCAGTTCTGGTATACTACTTTCTGCTCTGGTGTGAAAGTCTTGTAAGTTTGTTGATGTACAGATTTCAGTGACATATTAAGTTGTCTTAAAGAGGCCTGATCACTTAGAAAAATTTACCAGGGCTAAATTAGTTTTATTTTTAATTTCCTTACTTGAAATTGTTCATCATACCAAGCTGGGTTTTTTTTAAAATGTACCTTTCCATTTCCTCCCCTGCAACTCTTACCGTCACCATGTGGTGTTGAAGTGAGGAAAGCTCTTGTGGTGAGGCCCCTGCCTGATATTTTAACTTTAAAGAGTACAAATAACTTTTTAAGGCCATAAAGGAGCAACTTCAGGAGCAGTCCACAAGAATCTTCTGGATATTGTGTCTGGGACTCTGTAGTGTTACTTGCCAAGTACAGAAAGATTTCCTTCCTTCTGGAGACATGCAGCACGTGAACAATTTTATTGTACATCTCTGCAGTTAAATCCTTTGTTTGGATTGCTTAATTTCAGTGATTTCTACTGTATGTTCTTTAAAGACCTAGCTGACACTTAAAAATTCAGTCTAAAGTTGCCGAGAGAAATGAAAAATAGCTTGCGTTATATCGTTACAGATATCGTTAATCTCAGAGATGGCAGAAATTGTTTTAATACTTAAATAACAGTACATCTAGCACATTTATTTATGACCAAAGCTGCAGATGTCAGATTAGATATTAGCACCTGTAAATACTGGTTTTTTTCAACAGCAAGTAAGTTTTTGAGGGGAAAATTATGTAAATCTTGCTACATGAGGTTTCTATTTACAGTGCACTATGCTTTTCACGTTACTTGACTGCTTGAGAAGGTCTTGCAGATGTTCACTGAGTGTAGGTGATGTAGGTGTGGGGTTTTTGCTTTATTTTTGTAACTGTTAATTTCCTAACACATGGGGAGCAGTATGAGCATACATTCATTGAACTATTCTAAAACCTTATAGCAGTAAGGAAGTTCTGCTTATGTATTATGGTTTGTTTGTTGGTCCGTGAACTGTTACTGACATGATGGAAATACTTGAGAAGGATAAATACTTCTGCAGGATGACTAGCAAGGTAGGACTGCTGCAGGGAACAGAGCATGGTGAACATGTATTCTAGAAGTCTGTAATGTCTTTAAAAAAAATTCTTGGGACAGCCTGTCTGCTTTAAAACAGAAGATTTTTATTTTTACAAATTGATCACACATTGTAAACCAGAATTTTTGCTTATGTAGATTTAAAGACTTGTTTAGAGTAAAGTTACTTTAAATTGTACTGAGGTCCAGTTTTCGTATAAAATAGTTAGTGTTTTGAAATGGAGTTTCTCTGTAGCTCTCCTCAATTTTTGAGCCTAACTTGGTTTTATAAAGTAAGATGTGGTGGAAGGATGGGTCCTCAGATAAATTTCTGTGGAAACAGAAATGTACTTCTAGGGAAGTAATATCTTGTGATGAATAAAAGCATCACTTGTGAAGCCTGAGCTCCTGTAGTCCTGACCTGGAGTGTCTTTGGTTGCTTAGTGTAAGCATAGTTCCCTTCTATCTGATCAGTTGGGAGAGGCTAGAAATTGTCACTGCAAAACTTAAAATCAAAGCAATCCCTGCTTGGCTTGGACAAACTGACTTTTTGCTTTCATCACAACTGTTTTTGGATGAATTTTGATAGGGATATTTAAAGAATGAGTGTTTTAACACAGGAGCCTTCATCGCTAAACTTTTTGTGTAAAAGTGTGGCAAGCTAGTGCATTTCCCCAAAAATCTGTTTGTGAGCAAAATACATGCTTCTAACTTCATCTTTTTAAATAATTTAATTGCCTTTAATGAGAATTTTTCAAAGCTTAGCCTGTCCAGACATTCATACCGGAGATTCATTTTACCACAGAAAGGTCTCAGTGGAAGTGTTGACCTTCCTTAATGCAAGAATTGGTTAAATCATCTCTACCTGTACCTATTTCTCCAGTGCACCATCAGTTGATATTGTAGAATCATATTGTTAAAATTAACTTGATCTTAAATATTCATTTCATTTTTTTCCTTCAGAGGGTTGGTAGTACAATACTATGCAACTGTGCAAAGAGAAAGGCTTACATTCCTGCAGGAAATGTTTTTGTGAAATTATTTAAAGTTTTTATTTGCACAAATGTTCTCCATACAGAATATACAAACACATCTTTCCGCTTTACTCTTGTTTTTCCTGCTGGTTTAGTTTTGTGACTGTGTGAATGCTGGTGGCAGCACAAGGGAGGTAGAGGAGCAGGGGTGAAACCAGCAAGGACATGGCACTGGGAAGCTACGCCTTTTTCACTCAGTGATGTTTGATGTCAAATTCAAGTCCTCATGGATCTGTAAGCTTATTAGGCAATACTTGGTAATTTTCCCATTACAGCAGTTGCATATGAGATGGTTGAGGGGTGAGATAGTTTTTACTTTTTTTTTTTTAAATGTTTCTGTAGGAGAGTGCAGTGCTTTATACACCGTCACTTATAAACTTCTGTGCTCCTTCCCCTTAAATGTCTACAGCAGCCTCTTTCAATAATGTTAGATGTTTCTTGACCTATGCTTCTTGCAGATAGACCTACTCTTTTGAAATTGGTGTTACTAATAGATTCACTAAGTATGCAAGTCTTAGCTTTCTGTGCATATTTCTTCCCTATCACTTCACTATTTTTTTTTTTTACAGGTAAAAAAGGATTAAGATGATTGTTTGCAAATTGAAAAATGTCTATTTCTTTGGTAGTGCTCAGGTTTTGTGATGCAAAGCTCAGATAAGGAAGCTTTAAATGTTGTTCATAGATTAGTCTAGTAACCACCTCCAATAAAATGCTACTTTATTTGCCATCAGCTTTTCATATAGGCAGGTAAAATGAACTTAAAGGTAGGTTTTCCTATTGTATAGTTATTACTCATGCTTGCCAAGAGGAGAAATTTTAATGGGAAACTGCTCAGGATTCCTGTGGGAAACTGTTAGGCTATATACTTAAGGCATGAAACTTCAGGGATGTTTAACTTGTCATACATTATGCAGCAGATCCCTGCTTGATTTATGAGACCATAGGGTAAGCTGTGGAGTGTATGCCATTCGTCTTTGGGGTTCCTTCCACATTCTCCCACAGTAGTTCACTCTTGTGGGTACCTTTCGTGCAGATTGTATGTGAAGTTTGTGTTCTCTCTTTCCATTTTGTGGGTTGTCTTCATGGAAACGCTTACCTATATATGTACTCTTCGCCTGCGTGAAGTAGTTGTGGCTGGAAATTGGAAGTGTGACATTGCCTACTTACAAACCAGCAGCTTGACTTGGATAGCAAAAGGCAATTCTAAGCATGTTCACTTCCTTCCTGCTGTCCTTTCACTGTGGTCCTTTCTTCTTGTGCTTTAAAGTTATTTCTATCACTATAAATTTTCTTGTTTCTCAAAGAGATGTGTATCTCTTTTTCCTTTTTTCCCTCAGGACAAGCACTTTAAACACTGTTGATAATGTTAAGACTTGGCTGTTTGGACCTCTAATCTGTATTCTTTTTCATGCTCAGGGTTTGCAATTAACTGTAGTCTGTTGTCCATAGCAGTCTGTGTATAGAAATGGAAGAGAAGCAAGTAAAAAGAAAGGATTTAAAGACATGGATTCAGACAGAGGAAAACAGTGCTGGTATGCATGTCTTTTTGTTAGGTTTAGAAAGGTGTTGCTGATGAAGAAGATTTGTGGAATGCCAGGTTGAACGTGGTACTGAAGTTGGGCTTTTTTTTTTTTCCTAATTAGGAAGACCTTCCATTATTTTTACAGGATTCATCTCAATTTTATGTCTTAATATACTGCAAATATTCTGACTAAAATTGGAAGCTATTTAAGGGCTTTTTCAGATTGCTTGTCATCTTTGGGAAGACAGGAGCCCAAATTTTACCTGAAATGCCTACCTGATATTACGAGACTATCATTGCTGCCTGGAGAGTATCTTTTCTAAGTGGATTAGAAGTTACCTTAGAAATTACTGTGTTGGTTTCCACTTTTGGACACCGGTACCCTCTAAGCAGGAGTGGTCTGTGGGTTGGCCCTGTTTTGGGTTCTGATCTTCCATTTGGTGAGGTGCCATGAAAGTGGGATGGAAGTACATTTGTTCCCTTCTAGTAAAGGAGATGTTTTACTCTATACTCTTTACACTATAACCCTATATATAGTGAATTTTTCCTGGATTGTTTCTTCTACTAGTTGAAGTTTGTTGTTCATCCCTTTTGATGCTGGCATTTGCGCATCTGTTTCCCTGCCTTTTCTATTTTGGGGAATTTGCTGTCATATTTTTGTCTGTGACATGCCACATACTTGAATTTCCTAGAAAATGATAATCCTGTCTGCTCTGGGATACTGCATTCAAGCTTATACAAGGAAACACATGTATATCTACAGTTAATGCTCATTGCTTCATTTGCTTATTTTGTATGTAAAGTTGTAAATAGTAGTAATGAGGCAGGAGTAGTGGTTTTTGACAGTGACTTGCAAAACACATAGAAATGTAAGAAAACATGGATTTTATGACAGGAGAGCAGTGGAAGGGTAAATCTCTAAAGCAAAAAAACTCCAAACCAAAAACCTGATTTGAAGCTGAACACCATCCAGTTCTCACACAGACTCCCAATACCAAGTAGTATTTATGTCAAGCTTCATTAAATGAGGTGGTAAGATGTTCCCATAATGTTGTAAATATCCTGCTTAAGTGGATGTTTTGTACTGTGGAGGATGTCTTTCAAACAACAACTTCATTTCTTTTTGTTTCAGACTAAGGGAAGTGTCAGAGAAGCTGAACAAATATAATTTAAACAGGTAAGGCATATCACAGTCTACTGTAAATCATTTAGGAAAGTACAATTCTTCTAAGAGCAAATGATTGTACTGTAGATATAGCCTTAGAAAGCCTCAGTACTACTAATACTAAAGTTCGGAAATGCTTCAGATAACACAGTTCTTATATTAGGAAGAAAATGTTAGGTTTTCAGTTATAGTAAATTATATTATTAAATATCCTCCTTGTGGAATGACTCCTTAATTTGAAGTATAACTTCTGTTGTTTATTGCTGATCCAATTAAATGAACTTTATCACGTTTTAAGGTTTTGTTCTGCATTTTCTGTGCCTAATAACCAAAAATACATCATAGTTGCTTCAACTAATGCACGTTTAGTCATTCTTGAATATTTCTATAAAGGTAACTGTCACTGCACATTATTCCTTCCATATATCACTTGTTTTTTATTTTTTTAAAGACTTTAAAAATGTTATACATGCTCACTTTTTGTTTTCAGCCACCCCCCTTTGAATGTATTGGAACAGGCCACTATTAAACAGTGTGTGGTGGGACCAAATCATGCTGCATTTCTTCTTGAGGTAAATTACTTAAATCTGCTCAGATAACAAACTTGAAACCATACAGTTACAATTAATTCTAATGTTAAATTGATCAACATTCTTCAGTAACTGAAGACTTGTTTTTGTGTGTGTGTTTTTCTGTAGCTTGCCTTACATTTCAATTTTGGACACTTGGTTTTCTTGTTTTAAATATAGGATGGTAGAGTCTGCAGGATTGGTTTTTCAGTTCAACCAGACAGATTGGAGTTGGGTAAACCTGATAATAATGATGGGTAAGAAACACTTTTCTTCATATTAAGTCATTGTTTTGAACTGGATAAGCAGCTTGGCTGCTTTTCTTGTTTTTGTTTTTGTTTGTTTGTTTGCTTTTAAACTAGATTGTCTTTGGGTACTTGAAGTACATACATAATGGTTATGGTGATGCAGCCAAACAGCCTAGCTTGACAAACTGGTGTAGGAATAAATAGTAGATGTGATTCTAAAAGAAGTAAGACAAGATCTCTTTAACGTCAAGAAAGAAACCTCTCCAAATATAATCCTTATGAAAGAAACTGTCAGATTGTTAAGCTTCATGTAGAATCCACTCTGAAAGTGGTCCCATCTGGAGAGGCTTACTTTCTAGACGTGTTACCTTCAGGCCAGGTAAGTCCCCCTTAATAGGACTATTTAATGATTCATATTTGAATGTAAACTGCTTCTTAATATCGAATTAGTATACTCAGGCTCAGGTTTACGGACAGAACACCGGGTGGTTACAATTTGTACATATACACTAATTGAAAACTCACAGCATTGGCTAACTCAAATCACTAATTAGCTTAATATGTATTTGCAACTGTGCTGTTATGGATTGCTGATGTACATAAGATCTGTTAGGCATGCTTTCCACTTTCTTTTTCCAGTATAACTCTTAATATACAGTTAGATTAGTTTGGAATATTCCCCAAGGGTGTTGCTTAAGCTGGTATGTTACCAGACTAAGTCCCTGAGAATTTGAACCTGGGATTCCAGGTTTTGTTCTTAACCCATTTGGGATTGTTTTGTGACTGATTTACCATCTTTTACTTTCAGTTCAAAGTTGAGCAGTGGCTCAGGGGCAGGAAGGACATCCAGGCCAGGCAGGACTAGTGACTCCCCATGGTTTCTGTCTGGTTCTGAAACTCTGGGCAGACTGGCAGGCAACACCCTTGGGTAAGTTTTGATAGGATTGAGGCTGCAATCTGTTTGTTCCATATTTGAGTATATGTGTATACACATATATAAATTGTATGCAGTATGTATTAGGGAACGTATAATTACAGCGGTTGTGTAGGTAGGGTATAATAAAAAAAACTTTTATTGACTTGGTTAAAATAATAGATATGCAAGTGACCCTTCAGTACCTAGGATACGTAGCGTTCTTCATGTATTTGTGAAGAATAACTTGGTTTTGGCTGTGTTGTCTTTTTTTAAAATGTTTTTTCCTTGATTTTGAAAATGAGTTTTTAGAGGGACGCTATCAATTTAAACCTTGATAGGCTAGCAGCATAAAGTAAAATTAGTGCATGAGGAAGAATCTTCATTATCTATGTTTGCAGACCTTTGTGTGCCTAGGTTTATTGTGCCTTCCTCTCCCCCGCCCCAAGTAACGAGCGATGTTTTGTTAGTTGGGGTCTTATACATAGGAGTAGGGAACATTTGGAAAAGGTTGTCGCTCAGAACCTTTAAAATTGTACTAAATACTAAATGTACTATACAGATTCAATTTTTTTTTAATCATTAGCTTTAAAATTGATGGTGTCCCTTTATATAGCAATGTAAATTAGTCTTCATTACATAATCACAGTGAACTCTGTGTTACATGCTTTCGTAAGACATGTTGAACAGTGCTGCTTCGTAAGGTTACTAACCATAGAGAGGAGAATTGCATTTACAAACTATGATTTCTGCATGTGAATGATTTGGTAGGAGGGAGGAACTACAGCTTTTTCACAAAGTGAATTTGTTGTTTATGTTACCAAATAAGCTAATTTCATCTGGGGCTTAGTTGCATGACAGATAACCCATGCCCTTGCTATGTCAAAATTTTTGTGAAACCTTTTGTGCATCTGAAGCTAAGATCTGTGTGTGAAATTTCAAAAACAAACTGGTATTGTCATGTTTGGAAACTTAGTGTGGAAAGTGTATGACTCTTTTTTTCCTTGATACTTTTACGTGAGCATAACCAGTTAAAATTGTTTGAAGCTATGTGCTGAAGAGACTGACCCTGAAGAGTTCCTAATTTCTTCCCTTGCATGCTTCAGAACTAGGTAGTTGAAAGTCACTGAACTGGTAAAGTAGCAGTAGACACTATAATTGCTTTATTAAATGAAGGGAATACTTAACTTAATAAACTGAGACAAAAACCATTCAAACTGTGGAGCCCTTAGATTAGATCATGGGATTTGGAAAATTGCTAGTATGCTAGTGGCAGTAGAAAGATGTGGAAAACTAGTAGGTTAGCAGAAAGGAGCAGAAAGATTTCCATTCTATATTAATGTTTATTCTATGTTTAGACACCTTTAATAGGAATATCTGTGTCCTTACGATTTCTTTTCTCTAACAGGGCCAAGTCAGGACATACTTGGAATATTTGAATTGTTATACAAATATAAATAGTTGTACCTGTTAGAGGTCTTAAGTCTGTCATTGATAGTTTATAATTTTAAGTAGAAAAAGCATCTGTAATAAGTATGAAAATGTAATACGTAATCTTTTCTTTAAACACACATCTTCCCTGCTGAGGTCTGAATTGAGAACTGTTGTGCAGGAAGAATTTGACTTCCCCTCAGCCCCCTTACCACCTTTAGAAACAGAGTAACTGGCCCGTTTTATTTAAAATGTCACATTCTTCTTTGGTTTGGATTTGTTTGTTGTGTTTGGGTTTTTTTTTCCCCATTTCCAATAGTATCTTTTTTTAGAACTCTTTTTCTAACTCATGAGACAAGACTTTTCCTAAAGCCATTGATAAATTACTTTTTGTTTTGTCATTGTCTGTGTGGTTGCTGGCTAGAATCCTGAAAATGTTGATGTCTGTGACAGGGCCTTGTCTTAGGCAGATACTGCAGTTATTCTGTGATTGCATGGTCTTGTTGGGAGTTTAAAAACAAACCACCAAAAAAACCCCAAAACAGAACAATAACAATGAAAAGTAGTATGTTAGTAATTAACTTCAGCCATAAAATGTAAGACAAGTATTCTTAATTAATTAACTTTTATAGCTACATGTGGTATAGTTTTAACGTGAATTTATTAGATACTGTTTCAGAGAACATACCTTTTTTCTTGTCTTATTTTAAAATTTTTTATTGACAGGAGTTTGAGGATTAGGGTGGTTGAAAACAGGAAAGTTCTGCTGATACTGATTGTTAAATAGCAATAATACCATATCCAGTATCCTTTAAGGTAGATTTGTACAACGAAGTTGAGTTAACCTTGAAGAACAAACTAGAGTCGTTTAGCCTTTCTTGACAACAGAGTATGTAGTCCTATGTCCAGAACAGATTCAGTTGACACAGTTTTGTGATGTTCAGATTAGTGGAAAGTTGTAATGATGGCGAGTTGTCTATTTCTACAGATCACTGTGGTTTTACTCCCTTTTTTTGATATTGACTCATAGCAATGAAGAAAGTTTGTCAGTTTAGGCATGTTTTTGCAATATATACAGTTGATGTTGATTTCTCCGATAAGAATAGGTAGAGTAGAGTATGTCTCCGGAGATCTCATCCGTGAGGATCAGAGAACTAGCTAATGTAAGATTTGTTTTGCGGTAAAGATTACTTGATTTTTCCAGTGTAATCTTAAGCAATTTCTTAATGTAAATCAAGTCTCAGAAATTTTAGAAGACCTATCTGAGAATAGTGACTTGTCAAACAGAGCCTGCTCAGCATGAAGCTGCTGCATATGTGCTTTTATAGTAGGAAGTTAACAGCTGAGTGTTAGATGTTACACTGCTGATACTGTTGCTTTTAGAAACTCTGGGAATTGCTACATGCACTTATATGTATGTATACATCCATACAACTATATGAGTAGCAAAGAGTGCAACTTCCAGTTGGAGTGCTGTTTTATATTTCTTCTGTGTAATTCAGAACTTTATCAATTGCCTAGTTGTCTTCTTCTTAGTAGTTTTGAGAAATACTTTCCTAGTATTGTCTATGAAGTCAATCTGCGGTATTTTTCAGAGACTGTCTGCAAGTTATTAATAATAAAATTAAAGACTTCTCGATGTAGTCCCCAAAATATCCTGATATATATATAAAAAAACCCACATTATAATCTAAATCTTCTAGAAGTCGCTGGAGTTCAGGGGTTGGTGGAAGTGGAGGAGGATCTTCTGGGAGATCATCTGCTGGAGCTCGTGATTCTCGAAGGCAGACCAGAGTTATACGCACAGGACGTGATAGAGGATCTGGACTGCTGGGGAGTCAACCACAGCCAGTGATTCCAGCATCAGTCATTCCAGAGGAACTCATTTCACAGGTATGTAAGCTAGAAACTGCTTGTTGCCAAAAACCTGGAGAGCTTTTCGTGGCATGTGAACAAGACTGTGTTGTAATAGTAGTGCATTTTCTCCAAGGAGTAATGGCATATAATTGAAAAGATTGACTTTCTCTAGCTGAATTGCCTTTATTCTTAAATGCATAGTGTGTGATACTTTTTTTTGGATTCCAGAGTTTTTGTTTCCCAAACTTCCACCAAGACAAGGTATGTATTTAATCTAGATGAGGGATGTCATGCATTCTTCATTTGCAGATGGAAGATGTAGTGAGAAAAAAGTATTTGACATGTAGCTAATAAGTTTCTTGAAGTATAAGGAAGGGAGGCTGGTTGACTTTTTTCTTTTTTGATAAAAAGAGTGATCCATTTTAGATTTAAATGAAAGACATTAAACATATTTAATCTCTTAATACTAATAATTTTTCTTCCTGGACACCTCTACTTCATTTTCTGTAAATGTAACTGATGAATGTTGGGTATAAATTGCTCTGCTTTTGCCACTTAATGCACTAAAGTCTGAGTAAGCTGACGGACTTTGCATTGTGTGATTAAGTGGAGTTCATTAAAACAACTTTTGTCTCTGTGTTTGAAGAAAATAATGCATTCAAAATATGTGACTAATTAATGCATTTTAATTCTCAGTTCAAAACAAGTTGCTGGTCTACATTTGGAATACAGATGTTAGTTGCTAGGCCAAAGATAATCTGCTTGCATGCTCTGAATGGCCTACGGCATGACTGGCACAGACAGGAGCTAGTGGGCAAGGTATCTACAGACCCACCAGTTACAGACTGGCTTCTAGTTCCTTTCTCTTTTGGAATTCAAAACCCAGTACAAGCTGGGAGCTTCTCCCTTCACAGAGGCAAGATACGGGAGTTGTTGGTTACTCTGAAGTTAGTCCTGCTTTCAGGAGGTGGTTTGGTTAGATGATCTCCAGCGGAATCTTTCAACTGTGGGCTGGTGGGGTTTTTTTGACTTCATTGTTGACCTCCAGTTTTTTTTGAGAGTGTTTACTGACATCCTTGATACCTACATGAAATAGAAAAACAGACTAATATCCCTTAGTCCAGACAGTTCCATTCTGTAATCTAATGTATGGTTTGTTGGTTAAGTTGTAACTTTGCTTCCTTTGCTGTCATCTTTTGCCCTTTTTATTTTTTTTAATAGCATACTTTGTTTACCTTTAAATCTGAAGATATCTAAAATATTTTTGGGGTAACTCTAAAGCAGACCAATGGGAAAGATCTTCACAGCTGGTCTATATAACATAGATTCTACTATGTGTCAAAAATCTGTAAGATTCTGGCATAGAATGTTAGGGCAAAAAGTTTACCTTTGTGTGCTGTTAAAATGACCCTTTCTTTTTTTGCATGTCAACAAACCATTTTATTTGGTGCCTCATTTTTACTGTGTTATGAAAACATTCAGTACTGATTTCTTGCCTCCTTCACACAGTTTGCGATCTCCAAGAACTCTGTCAGCTTCTCTGGCATTCAGTAGAAGGTAGTCTTCTGGAAAAACAAAATACTCTGAGTCCTAGCCTTAGTGGAATACACCAGAATGCTTCTGGTTTTTGTAAATTCATCGCATCTGTTTAACATTTGGAAGGTTTTTCTGCATTTGCACTTTGCTAATAAAAATGTAAATGTTACAAAAACTGCTGAAGATAAGCCTTTAGAAACAGAATTATGAGAAAAACAGAGGAAGTAAGGTGGTTATATTTTGAAGGGCAATGGAAAGAGAAACCAGTGTCAAAAAGACAGGAATTGAGGTGTAGTTTTTGGAACAACAGTTGATTGCAAAACTGTTGATTAACATAGTAAGTTTAAACACTTTCACAGAAACATATAGAACATTCTCAAAACTAGATTTTGCTTATCCTTTAGCTTACAGCATTGAACATTTCAAGAAGTAGATTCTAAGATTCCATTAGGAAATTCTGCACCAAATTTGGAATTCACTGGCCTAACTTGAACTGAGAGAAGTTGACTAGTACAAGATACTGTGAAAAATCTGTGTGAGCCTTTGTATGTACTGTGATTGACTTTTGGTTTCAATTAGACTTCTTTTAGAATTAAGCATTTTTTTTCCTTATGAATAGTGGCTGGTGAGCTGAGAATGACCGGTAACCAATTATACTCTGCTTTTACAGGCACAAGTTGTTTTACAAGGGAAGTCCAGAAGTATTATTATTCGGGAACTCCAGCGAACAAACCTTGATGTAAACCTTGCTGTAAATAATTTGTTGAGTCGTGATGATGAAGATGGAGATGATGGGGATGACACAGCAAGTGAATCATATCTTCCTGGAGGTTTGTATCCTGCAACTTTTGATAAGAAAAAGCCAATTGGTTCTTATTTTTCTGTATTAAAGCGCTGATAGCGTGCTCTGTGCTGTGAAAAGTATGCAGCAAAGACAGTTCTTCCTTATAGGAGCAAAGTCTAAAGATGCGCAAAACAAAAGATGCACTGGGATGTCTTGAGAGATTAGGTCAGGCATTGAAGAATAACTGTTGAACCTGTTTGTGGATGGCATGAAAGTTTTTTGTTTTGTTCTGTTTTTTAGGATTCCAGGCTTTCTAACATCAGCATTACTTACATCTGTATTTTGCTGCTCAATGAGATGCTGAGACTGCTGTGTGGCTTGCTCATAAAAGCTAGTTCTAAAACCTTCTAGCGACTTGCATGTTTTTCACTACTAACATAAATTGTGAGGATACAGCAGTTTTTAGAGCAAAAAATTATACAGCTTTTTTTAAATCAAAATACCTCAAGTGAGGACGAAACAGCTTACAGTTTTTAGTCAGATGGAAAATTTGTTCTTCATCTCAAGTTCTCCTCATAAATGCTCTAGTATTCTGGCTTTACCAGTAAAGTGCTGTAACTGAAGTCCAGCTGGTTTTGAAATATTGAATGTCCCATACAATTGCTTTTTAGAAAAGACTTCGAGTCTTCTTTTGCATTGGCTAAATAGTTATGTAATATTTTGTTCCTGAGTAGTAAACATATTTGAAAACATAGCAGCCAAATGCAATGTTTGTGTTAGGTGCACTGCATGGAAAGAACACATCTAAACTCTGAACATAATAGCTTTTCTTTCTGTGTGTCAAAATGGCATTTTAATATTTTTCTAATAAATGTTTTTTTTTTTCTGCTCATCTGGTTCACCAGGAAGGTTCATGGGCTTCCTCCATCTTTACCTTGTCAATCATGTGATTAGACAAAGTTGTTTTTTTCTTTTTTGTTCTGCAGCAAAGGCCTTGAATTTCATTTTCCTCTTCTAGTTTTAGTTACATCTGTCAAGCTGCTTTATTTTGCTGTAGAATCAAGAATCCTCTGGTGAAAGGGGTGAAAATCTTTAATTTGAGTCTTGTTTTGTAGTGATCAGCTTAATAGCATTAGACAGATGCACTGGAGGAAGTAAACTCTCCTAACTCTTTCCAAGTACTCGGAGCAGGAGTTCTTACTCTAAGCATGCCTGAATGCATTCCTCTGGAAGATAAATCACTGTTAGTAATCATTTACAGTAGAAGTTCCTTTTAACCATACTAACCAGCTTTCTACAGCATTAACTATTCTCTTAGTACCTCTTGAGATCATAAGGATCAGTTAATAGGGACCATCTGACAACCTATGACTGGTAACTTTTATTTGAAGGTGCCTGTGCTACAGTCTGTGAGTCTCTTGTGTTTGAGATAGGGTAAAGTGGCATGCAGAGTTACACTGTCCTCTCTAGCTGTCCGGAAAACAATTTTGTCCTTGGCTTACTTTTTAAAGCTTCTCCCCTGTTTAGACCAATCTTTCCTATAAGGGATTGCAACCTCCTAATATTAGTTGTGGCTTGGGTTTTTTTTCCTTTTTTCTTTTACCCCACAGAGAAACTGGGCTAGCTCTTCCCCAGTTCTTATGGGAAAACACATGGAAATGATAATTGAAATTGAACTTGATATGTCTTAACTCCAGTCTTTAAAGATGTAATTAGCAGTTTGTAGAACATGCTATGCCTTCTCTCTTGTCTTATTTCAGTTTTATGGGCAAATATAATTTTTTTGCACAGAAATGAATTAGTTTGATATCTGAATATGATCAAAACAGCCGAACGCTTGTCAGTGTTGTCATGACTCTACTGTTGGTACATCAAATAGTACAAATTCCCAGTCCTCGCTTGTGTCACATAACCATGCAGGCTAGTTTTCAGGAAAACCTGCTGGCCAGTGAAACTTCCCTTTAGCTCTCTGGAAAAATACCAACATTCTGTCCTTCAGCACTATGTAGAACCTTTTTTTAAGTCTTTCGCTCTAGAAACTTTGCACTCTTCTTGCTTTCACTTGCCATCTCGCCTCTGGTTGGTCTTTTGGAACTATAACATCAGAGTTCATAAAAGAGAACTGTAGATAACTTATAAATACTATATGCATTCAGTTCTTAGGTTTTTATAAATTATTCTGAAAGATAAAGAACTTCTATTTTTTTTCTTTGTTTTTAAATTGTCAAATTATGCTTTAAAGCTTTTTGATTTTGTTCCTTCCAAGCACAAAAAAAGCAAATGACAGACTGCTTTTGCCTCAGGACTTTTGAGGCTCTTGCATTTTGATTAAAAGCATATGCTAATTTTTACGTATTCCTCTCTGCATGTCTGGTGCTTTGTGACCCTTAAATTTAGGGGTTACTGCTTTTAAGCCTTCCAAGACAGAGAAGCTTTTTTTAAACACTGAGAGAAATTTACATTTGATTTTAAAAATAAAAAAAAATTTAAAAAGCTAAGGTACTTTCCAGTCACTGTGACATTAATAAATTCTTGTTTAGTACATCATAATTTCATTAATATATGAGTTGTGATAATTCCAGTTAGTATTGTAAAGGTTATGCATCTGAATTTTTTTTAAGCTAACAAAAACCATGTCTCAGTTCTTCCTGAATACTTGAAAATGTCTTAAGCAAAGAACAGAACTTTACTTTTCTGTACAGATTGCCTTCAATAAGTGTGTCTCATTTATTTTTGGACCCTTATGTAGTTTGATTTTGACTTCTCTGATCTAGTCCTGTTTCTTTTCATTTTGTGATGGTTAACAGAGAGGAATGTGGGTTCATTTGATACATAACAAGTACATAAGGAAAATAATCAAGGTAAAAATTACATAGAACAAGGTCATTTAGCATAGAAAAGACTTGAAGGGCTCTAAATAAATTTTCCAACTCCTATCAGGTTGTATTAGAGGCTTCTTCTGGGCTTTGTTACATTAATCTTCTGTATAGAGATTCTGTAGAGGTTAAAATATTTTTTTTCTTGTTTGTATAGTTCAGATATGTGTGTGTTTCCTCAGTAACTTCTGCATGATGTAGTGGATTCTCGCTAGTGGGACTTGCAAAACATAGATTTGGCAATATCCAGGCTACTTTGGATTTTGGAATTGGGATAAGCTTGTTTAAAAATCCTTTTTTTCTTTTTTTTTTTTTCTCTCAGAGGAGAGAAGAGAGACAGTCTGGTATTGCAGCAGTACTTGCTGTATTGGCTTGCAGCGAAGGGAGATGGGAACCAGAGCATAGCATAGCATAGCATCAGTTCAGTGGCTTGCCTTTGGGGAAAACAGGTGTATGTTTATTCTGTGGTTCTGTTGGTGCGGTTTGCATTTTTTTTGGTTTTTTTTTTGGGTTTTTTAAGATGAACTTCAAGTTGGGTAACGTTTTGAATAAATGTATCTTATCAAGAAATGAGTTCTGGAGTTCTGTTTGAGTCTAGTTTCCTAGGAAACCAAAATACATGTTTCTCTCCCTTTGCTGTCAAAGTTCTGCAATTTAATCCAAACTTGAAAGAGGAGGAGATACTGAAGACATTGGATTCTTGAATATTTCATAAAAGTATGCAGCTGAGAGGAGAGAACTTATGATTGCACCCTTAAGGGAAAAGGTTTAATGTGAGTTGAACTTGAGATCGGAATTGATCTAGGCAACGCCTTCAGTTAATGAATCCAGTGATAATGCTACGCGTGGAGCTGTTGAAAATAAAAATTTTCTTAGTATTTGAATTGCTGCTTATATGCATATTGAAACTCATTTTTTCTGTTGGTGGGGTTTTTTGATTTTTATTTGGGTTTTCCTTTCCTGTGCGCTGGATATCCTTTTCCTTCCAATTTTCAGTGGTATTTACTAGTGAATCATAGGTACTTTCCTACCCAAATGGGTTAATCAGAATTATCGCATGTAAATGTGAAGGGTTGTGGTCTGATTCTAGTCTAACACAGCACAAGAGATGAATGATATCATCCTATGGGATTTTTCTGAAGAGCAGGAAAATAAAATCATACAGAATATTTTTTCCCCTTGATTCTTAAACTGGATGTAGCCTTGCAGTATCTGTGTTCACACAGCGCTAAAAACATTCCAGTGATGTTTGAAGGGGAGTGGATTTGGCTCCTATCCCTACTGGTTTTAGCACTTTTGTTTGCTGGTATAGAAAATGGAAGAAGGGGGATCTCTTGCAGACATATTGGAAGAAAATTAAAATCTGATTTGAAGCTGAAATAAGAGGGTGAGAAAAGGCTTCATTTCCTCACTCATCTTAACGCACATTTAGCCGAAAACCACATCGGTTGGGTTCTTAAGTCTGATGGCTTGTATTTTTACTTTCCTTTTTGGAAACACAGCTAAACTCAAGATGCCTAACATGGCGGAAGGTGTGTGTGTGTGCCAAGTTAGTGTGTGTTTTCTGTCAAGAGGATTTCTGGGTTAGCTTACCATAAAAAAACCCCATATTGTCCATTTTGAACGAGACTGGAGAGTTCTTTTCTGTACTGGCCAATCCTGTTCCTAAAAAGAGATCAAAGTTTTTTGCAATTTTTGGCTAGATAGCGACCAAAAAAATTGAGAATAAGTTGCTAGACTGTAGAGAAGCTGGAGCTTACCTAGGAAGAGATGGTTATAATGGGTGTGGGAGGAGGGAAGAGGAGCAGTGTGTGAATATTGGGAGATACAGCAGAATCTCAGCTGTGTTTGCAGCTCTTAAAGTCTGGTACTTACAGGTTGATACTCTTAAGGTGAGATGTATTGCTGCTTTATCGTTGTGGAAAGCCAGTGGAAAATAGATGAAGTAGCAAGCAGGGTAAGGCTGTCCTGAGTGATCTCAAGTCTTGTAGTAAGACAGAGCCTGTTTGCCAAATCTGATTTTTTTTTTTTTTTTTTTTAACTAGGATTTCCGAGTAGTCTGTCAAGGATGACTTCCTAAAACATACTGCATGAACCATTGAGTCCCAAATGGTGTGCCTTTAGAAGCACAGACTACACTTGAGTGGATTACTTATTTGATGCAAAAAGCATTTGTACAGGTCTTGCTTGCCTTGAAATCCACAGCGCTTACTAGTTACAGCACTGTTTTTCTGGGGACAGCTGTTTGTAGTTAGTATCTGTTACATTTCCTGGAGATGGGCATTTAGAAACTTAAAGATGAATATTCTGATGTGCAGGGATGTGAAGGTCTCTAACACTTTCAGTATCAGTAAGTTTTTGGATACCCTCTGCTTTGTGTTCCTCTCACCGTTCATTCCAAACACTGAGAAAAAGACCTATAATAATCAGTACCTACTGTTAAGAATGCTTTTATTTAACTTCAAAGCTTGATTTCTAGCCACTATTTTGGTTTATGCTTATGATGAGGTAGAGGCTGAGAACTAGATGTGTTGAAATTGTATGTGCTCCTTCTGTGTTTCCTGAAGGGACTCTCTGTATAGCCTCATGTTACCTTCACAAGTGGTTTAAGCAGACGAGATTGTCCTGCTGCCAGAAGGAGCTATCCTGCCATTCCCTTGCATGGTGGTGAGGTTTGTGTGCCTACATGGCTTAGCTGAAACCTAATTTGGGGAGCCTGTGTGTGTTTTTGTTGGTTTTTTTTTTTCAGTCTGATTTGCTTGAAAGTTTGGGAAGGGGCAGAATTGTCTCCTTTGGCAGTAGGGTCCAGTCAGCTTTGCTGCATGTGGTGAGGCACCACATTTGGGGCTGTGTTTGACTACCCAGTTAAGTCAGGCTGAAGATTGCCTCCCACCTTACTTCTATACCCTGTGAAGTATTGTTTCAAGCCAGGTGAATGTGCTAGTTGTAGATTTAGAAATCTCACCTTGCCCCAAGGAGATGCCTGCCAAGGGGATGGAAGGAAGGAGGGCTGTCCTTTCTGTAGCAGCAAGATGGTAGTCGCGTTTAGTTGTCTTGTCAGTCCATATTGCTGGACTTCAATAAATAATATGAATTTTCAGTAGCTTCTTTTGTGTGTGGATAGTAGCTATAGTTTATTAAATGAAAGGGGATTGTTTTATACTTTAATGATGATCAGTACTTCAGAGGAATTCAAGTTTTCTAACATGGAAGCTAGGGCAGTCACAGTATTAAGTTCATCTTTTTGTTTTATCTTTTTTTTTTTCTTTCTTAACCGCATGATATTAAAAATGGTGCATTTTCCAGATATCTGTTGTTGTTCTTAATGTAGCTATCATTTGAATCTTTGTACTGAAAGCTGCAAGCTACTGGCCTGTGAGTTAAAAAAGTACATCATTCTCTGAAAGAAACATTCCATGGAGGAATGTACAGTCTTTGACATCAAGGACGTGGCTCTGTGAAGACCAGCTTACACCAATTTTGTCCTTCCTTAATTCTTGGTCATCTTTGGAGTTCTGCATTACGTGCATGAGTGTGTGTGCACATGCATGTATAGGTATCTATCTTATCCTAGTGGTTCGTTCTTTCAAGTGACAGGCTGAAGTTTGAATTTCTAGGTTACAGAAAAATGTGTTTTGGGCAAGTCTTGTTTGGGAAATGTGGTTAGATAAGTGTGGGAAACTGGTTTTGTTCACTAGTCCACCAAGCTTGATTGTAAATGTGGTTGCATAGGAGGCACATGAGTTTGCACTGGTGAATCTGAAGAGCAGAAATTCAATTAATAGATAGGATTTTTTTTAAAAATATTTGATTAGTTGTTGGTCTCTCTAGCTGATGTTTTAAGTAGCTGATTATTCACTTAAGACCCTTGTCTCCTCTTATAGAGGATCTTATGTCTCTTCTGGATGCTGACATACATTCTGCTCACCCAAGTGTCATTATTGATGCTGATGCTATGTTTTCAGAAGATATTAGTTACTTTGGTTATCCATCCTTTCGGCGCTCATCACTTTCCAGGCTAGGCTCATCCAGAGGTAATTTTGCACCTTTTTTCTTTGTAATAAGTAGTTTGCTGTGGAAAAAGCTAGTGATAGTACACACTGGTGGTTTAGATTCTGATTTAATGAGAAAGTAGACTGTGATATGTTGTCAAATATAGAGTAGACAAATAGACTGTTACTCACTATCAAAATTATTAATGAATTCTGAATATTAGCAGGTAAGTTCTGCAAGAACCTTGATAGTAATGTATTTTAAATCTAATTGTTGATCATTGGTGTTGCAAGGTGTCATAAAATTTTTGCATGTTAAGTTTATTTTAAACTGTAGTGTAAGTACCTACTAATACTTAGATTGCATTACAAAGATATAATTTGGCTCAAAAATGAGTAACAATTGATGATATGCAGCATTCCTAATTTTTTAATTTTTTTTTTCCTTTTCTTTCTTTTGGGTTGCTTTTTGTTCACTGTTCTTCACGTTTCCTTAATTGTTCCATGAGAGAAGTTAACCTTTATGGAATGAGGAACTTTAGATACTAAGGAGGGAGAAAAAAATCTAAAATTTCCTTCTTGAAGCATTTTTATAGTTGGATAAGGAGAACTATTGGCAGCTGATAAAAAAAACCTCCTTGAGCAGTGTTAAGGCATTTTACCTTTTTTTTTTTAAAAAAAGATTTATAACAGACCATGCAGCAATTTCCTATCTTTTTGAAGCTGTTGCGCAAATGCCTAGAATGTTTCCAAACTGTTAATCCAACCTCTCCTGTGATTGTTTGGTTAGTACAGTTTTGTTGCCTTTCATGAACATGTTTTAGTGTATTAATTGCTGAACATTGTAAGTTCCTGTTACAAAATTATTAGTCAGGGATCAGCATGGTGTTTGCTAGAAAATAAGTACAGTACTTTATGAAATATATCTGTAAGACAAGCTGTCATGTTTGGCTTATGTAAAAACTTTCCAATTTGTCTAATAAAGCAAAAGACCCAAGACTTGGCGTAATTTGTTGAAACTATGATATAATAATGTGATCATCTCATACATGTAATTCCAGTTGATTTTTGTGAGCCTAAGTGAAGTACGTAATAGGTTAAATGCATTATGTGCATGTACGAATATTCAGCATCTGACATAACTCCTAAATTCCTCCTTTTTTTTCCTTTCCTAAGGTTATTCTATATAAGACGTTACCACGAATTTTATAATCCTTATTTTCCATGCATAGTTGACTCTTGGAAAGTTAGTTTGATTACCTGATTTAAAAAATTTATCTGCATGAGCGAACTGCAGAGTACTGGCTTTAGACAGTTTGTAGGCCAATTGGAGGGGAAGCATTTTGGTAAGGAACATTTTCCTACAAGGATCCTTTTAAAAACTTGTCTGACTCTTGAAAAGTTTTCATTTGATCTACTCAAAACAGATACACTTTAATTTATTAAATCCAGTCCTATGGAATATTGCTTTAAACAAAAGGGGTTGGATTATCAAACATGTATACGAAAGCTTTTCTTAATGCTTGCTTTCTTTAACCTTTTCAAATTACTGTTTTTTGGGGAAAGTTGTTACGAAACTCTCTAATAAATACTCTTTTTTGGTTTGCATAAAGATACCTAACAGACTATATAGACTTAGATTTTTTTGTTGTTGTTACTACATTGATAAAACAATACTACAAAACTGCATATTGTACTATAAAACTTTAAATTGCAATGTTAAATGTATTTGGCCTCCTATGATGCAAATGAGAATGTGTTAGCATTTTTTTTATAGTGCACAAAACTGTAAGACTTCTATATTTCTAGCTTATTTTTATGTTTAGTAATTCTAAAGTACATATGCTTGAAAGCGTTAGTATGTTGAATGTTGCATGTCAGGACTTTATTTTTAATCTATGTGAGTAGATTTAACTGCTGTTAGTTGCATCCTGAAGGGTCTTTACTAGAGAGTGGCTTACTTTTATCCCACTGGTGTGACCCAATTGCATACCAGTTCTCCTTCTTCCCTTAGAGAGAGACTCTGAGCTGTTGCGTGAACGTGAGTCCGTTTTACGTTTGCGTGAACGAAGGTGGCTTGATGGAGCCTCATTTGATAATGAAAGAGGCTCTACAAGTAAGGAAGGGGAACCAAACCTGGACAAGAAGAATACACCTGTTCAAAGTCCTGTTTCTTTAGGAGAAGACTTGCAGTGGTGGCCAGATAAGGTATTGAATTTTTTTACTATTTTATTTGCATGCTGTGGAATAGATCTGTTTATTTTTTCCAAATAAATACTCTGTTTCCGTTTTGAATATTATGTCTCAGTTTATGTGAGATAATATAATAAAGCATATTTTTTATTATGCACTTATGAAAATTGTAAATAACTAGTTACACCATTATAGCTGCACTTCTGTTATTACTGTTTTAATTTTCTTCTCCATGTGTTTTGAAGGTACTGCTGTAGATCATAAAGTTTGCGGTTTTTCTTTTCTATTTTCACTAAGGTGCTCAAAGCATTTAAATGGCAATAGGAAACACATGAAACAATTTGAACTATCCTTCATCAAGGAAACCTTTTTATTGGTTAGCATTATTATTCCCAGAGATACTTTCAGGTTGAGTGGATTGGGCTTTTAAGCAACAACAGTGAAAGCTGACATTTATTTGCAGTTGTGTTTTGAGTTGACCAGTAACTTAAATGAGTATTGGTTGTTCCTTCAGAATTCCTTTGGCTTTGATTAGCTGGTTTTCTTTGTAACCCTAATTCCATTTCCAAGGCAAGAAGTAATTCCCACATGAGATATAAGAATAATAGGAACACCAGCTGTATGTTGCTATCTGGATATCTGTGGATGCCTAGATGCTTGGGGAAATGACTTTAAAAAACAAAACAACCCAAACCAACCAACTAAACCAAAAAACTTTCCCAGGAATGGAAGTGACAATCTACGCTTATTAGAGTAAATTTTATGGACTTGGGTAGTCTTTCTAGTGTTCCCATTTCTGTGTGTCCACAGTATCTGTGAGGTTGCTATTTTGATTTGTCGTGCTTTCTTTTTCTATGTCTCTGTTTTTTTTTCCTTTCAGACTAAATATAGATAGAGAGCTTGAAGAGAGAGGCTTATTTCTGCTTACAGCAGCTCACCTTTAGGTGCTGTCATCTTCATTTGGGCATTCAAACTGAGCAATGAAGATACCTATAAAGAATGTTTGTCTAATAGTTGCTCTCCCAACCAGACTTTTTATGTCTAAAGTATGATTTTATTTTTTCCAGCTAGTAAAGTTGAACTTCTGTGTCAGTGAAAATTGGCAGCTTTTGTGCCCCCTTGCTTTGTCATAATGGTAGGATGAGAGAGTCATCTAGCTTGGGTAGAGAGAGATTTCAGGGGGTTTAGCATGAAAGAATAAATGTAGTTTAGATTTGGAATACTAAGTTGTTATTCTTTTTATTTCCACTGCTGTGTTTTGGTAACATTATTATGGCCATTATTACTGTTGTGGTTTTTGTTTTGTTCGGGTTTTTTACTACTTAAGGAATGTTTTTCATGTTAACCCCATTCTTCTCTCTGGCCCTCAAAGTTAGTAACTAAATTAGGATCCCCCCTGCCCCCGATGGGGTTTTCCGTTGTTTGCAAACTCAGCAGATCCTGCTATAGGACAATTATTGCGGTCTTTCATTGGGCATCTTTTATGGAATTAATTTGCTGTGATATCTAACATATGCTTCTTCAGTTTAAATATACTGGACAACTTCTAAGACACCTGTTTACATATGGAGTCATATAAACCCTGGCTTCCAGTTAAATGAAGGTGTCTTACTGGAAAGGCCTTTTATATTTATCCAAAAGTAGTTAAACTTTTCATCCTGTTCTTCAGCTGAACATTCATGAGAAACTGTTCTGCATCTTTCTTGCTATAGCCCCACTCTGAAGTTTTGTTGGTTGTATTTTCCAACAGAAATTCTTCAAGGTGAAGCTTGAGGGAGATGATTTAGCTGAGAGGCCAGTTAAGCGGTTTCTTCCATTTTGAAAACTGGAAAGGAGGTCTTGAAATGTTAACGGAAAAGAGCGTAAGCTAGGGGAGAGATTAAAGTTCATGAGGAATCGCTACAAAATAGCCAGTCTTGTTTGCAAATATTTTTCCTTAATTTTTCATTATTTTGATGTTTAGCATTAGCGAAGGAACTGTAGTAGTCCATGATGAGGATGATTAACTTGTGTTTGTGTAGGTAAAATACCAGCTTCAGAGGAAAGAGTAAAACTTTTGGAAAGCTGATAGTGTCCCCAAATGCATCAGTGTCACCCATAATCTGAGACAAACGATGTTGAGACATGTTGCATAGGTACTGAGTTTTCTCCACCAAATAAGTGAAATCAACTGCTCAAGAATTCAAGTCAATGAATGAATTCTTCTGATAGTTCAAATCTTGGAGCGTAGTAATATTAGTCTACACTGCCATGTATCAACATTGTGCCATGCATATCAGGGCCACTCTGTAATGTGGCAAGTATGGCTGTGTTTTTTTGCTAGACTGAGTTAGGTGCAAGCTGAGCCTTTAATTTGTTCAAGTAGGTATATTCTGCTTAGCTATTGAGATACTAAGATTTTGTCAGCAACCTGCATCATCAAGTATGTAATTTCTCTGGTCTGGAGACAGAATTTATAGTTGGACACATACGACTCTGGTTACAGAACAAGAGCTGTCATGTCATTCATGCATCTTTGTGCCGTTAGTCTTTTGAATGGCTTCCTGGAGGTGTCTGTAGCATTGGTCCTGTAGCGTTTAGATCACAACTGCTAATGTTTTGATGGAAGGGAGAGAACAAACATTGAATGTCAGGTCTCTTTCGTGTTGAGCTTGTGGTATAAAACTGTTTGTTATACAAAGTTGTAAAAGATATTGGCAGGATTAAAAGTAAGAATGATATTGTCTTGGAGCAAAAATTAATTGCTTTTCATACTTAACTTTGAGGCATTAGGCCAAATAACTTCTGAAGATTCATTTATGCTGACAAGAGCAGAGACACATCTCATTAGATGATAGTAGGTTCTGATGGCAGTTCTTTCTCAGAATATGCAATATTTATATGATGTCAAGTATTAAACATGACACAGATTGGCATTTGTGCTACTTCTGTGCTGTGTTGGTAGATGCCCTCCAAAGCAAAATAGTTCTCTTATGATTTAAGTAAGTCTAGGTCTTGTTATAAGGGTGTGAAAGAGAATTGCTTGTGATTGCTTCTGTCCTTTTCTGCTGCCCTTTTTCTCTTCTTTCACAAAGCATTGGTAAACATTTTGAGCTATTGCTAAGAGATGTACTGAGTCCTGTGTTATGCAAGGACACGCTCACACCTCTTGAAATGTGCACTTCTGGGCATGAAAATAGTAAAAAAAATAGTATGAATCCAGATTTATATAACTAAAAATGTTTCCAGTTGTAAAATTCTGTAACTGCAAGAAAAGTATCTTAATTTAGGGGGCAGATAAATGTACTGGATGGTGGACTTTTTTAATGGCCTGACACAGAGTTCAATTTCGCATCAGATGATTGAATTGCTTAAATGTGATATATTGTAATCTAAGAGAGGCAGCTAAAGACATTGGTCTGGGAGAGAAGACTAGTTATCATGTACCTGTCTTTCAGATTTGTAGCTGCAGAAGGCAGCATTTGATTTTATACTAGTTTAAGTTGTTTTTTCATTCTTTAAAAGCTGTGTCCTCCCTTAAGTGGAAGGGAACTTTTAGTTCTTACCAGTAAAGAAGTTTAAAAGAACGTGGTTGTCCTGTAGCTGCACTTGCTGAGGAGTAGCGAATGGATGTGCCTTACAAATGTTTCTCAGTAAACACAAGTAAATGTTTTGCGAAATCACGCAAATTCACAGGTCTGTAGTTTGAGATTTGTTTCAATGCAAGAGGGAACAGGAATTTGGAAAAAGTGAGATTGTAACTGTTGTGTAGTTGCTGCAACATTGGTACACAACCAGGTCTAAGAGAGGGGAAAAACAGGCCTGTGAGATTTCAGTAAGGCACAGGATGAAGCAGTTGAGCAAAGTGGTACTATCTAAGTAGGAGAAAGATGCCATGTCAATTTTGGTAAAATGTTAAAAAAGAGAAACAGGGGGAGAACAACCCATAATTAGAAGTTTTTCCAGCATATCAGGTCATAATGATGCATTAATGTGACATATAGCACACTGATTTTTTTTTTAATTTTTTTTCCCCTAAACTAGATCTTGTTTGCAGTTGCTTATCTTCAGAAGTGAAAGATAAGAGTTGTTTAATTGATGGGGCAGTGAATTTGATAGTTGATTTCTCGAGTTGCTTTTTTGTTCATTTCAAAAAGCCAGAATTTTAGAGAGAAGCTTTTTTTTAAAAAATGTCAGAAGTCAAGAGGTCTTCTCATCTTCAGTTCTATAAGTGGTATTGTGTTCTTAAAATATTGTGTAAGCTGTTAATAAACTGTCCAACTTAATTGCCATATATATGTTATTGCTGAACTTCAGGAAAATAATATCTATTTCTTTCCTCCTTCACTCTGTCAAAAGCAACAATACTTTTTTTCTGTGTGTGTTTGAGGGCATGCTGGAGTTGAGACAAGCTGCATATTTTTTATTTTCAAGTTCAACATTCATGGGAATGTTAAGTTTTTATTCAAACAGTTACAAGTTCATTTTTTTGCATTTATATATATGCATTTATAATATGGCTGTCTTAGACTTCGTGTTTCTATCTTTGTAGGATGGAACAAAGTTTATTTCTATCGGAGCTCTGTATTCCGAGCTCGTGGCTGTTAGCAGTAAAGGAGAGCTCTATCAATGGAAGTGGAGTGAATCAGAGCCTTACAGAAATGCACAGGTACTGTACCTCTTTAAATGCTTACCTTCAGAATTATTTATATGCTTTGAATATCTAAAATATTTTTTTGTTTCCAAAGAATCCTTCGCTACATCATCCACGAGCCATGTTCTTGGGATTAACCAATGAAAAGATAATGCTCCTTTCTGCAAATAGTATTAGAGCAACTGTTGCCACTGAAAATAACAAGGTATGAAATGGATGCCCTTTGCTGAATTTGACAAAGCTGTTTTTTTCAGTTACTTGCAGTATATTAGAGAAGATCATTCTTCAGCTTCGTCAATAGTAGAAAGTACTTAATTTGTTTGTCCATTCCACTTCTTTTCATCTATACAGATGTAAAAACAAAACAGAAACCCAACCAGTGTTTTGTAAAAATGCAAAAAGGTTAAAAAAAAAAATAAAATCTGGCAGATTTACAGCTGAAACAGTGAAAAGATACCTGTTTTACCTGATTATCTGAAACACTTGACTTTTGCCATTACAGTAGAAACTGATGCTGATTTAGAGAATAGAGAAGCTTGCTAATGTTTTGTATATATTTACTAGAAAAACTAAAGGCGTTCAAGCTTTCAGTGTTGTAAAGTAAGTTATCTAAATGTGCTTTTCTGCCTAGTTATGAGTGAACTTGAAACTGATTTGGTAAAGTACATGCACTTGTTGAAGTATTTTTATGACATCTCTATTTTTTTTAATTTTTTTTTTTTTACCATTTTTGTTTTTGTTGGGGACTGGAAATAGAGGAAAAAAAGTCCTGAAAATTCTCCCTTTTCTGGGGAAAGAAAAGGTGGTAGGGGATAAAATCCCCAAAGGAATCATTGTTTTTTTGTTGTTTAGTTTGTTGGGTTTTTTCTTTCAAAATCAGTAAATACTACATTAAAGGTGCAACTAAGGTGCAACTTTTCTTGTACTTATTTTCCCCCCTACCTTCTCTGTTGCTTTCTTCCCTTAGGTTGCTACGTGGGTAGATGAAACTTTAAGCTCTGTAGCTTCTAAATTAGAACACACTGCACAGACTTACTCAGAGCTTCAGGGAGAACGGATTGTATCTTTACATTGTTGTGCTCTTTATACATGTGCTCAGCTAGAGAACAACTTGTATTGGTGGTAAGTAAATACTATGTTTATGTACAACAGTGTAGATCCACTGAATGTCTTCATGTCCTTGGCTCTGAGAAGCCTTGCAAAGCTACTGAACCACAGTTGTTCTGAGTTCTGCAACTCTGCACTTGAGCTTAGGTTCCCTTTTTAAAGTATATTTATTGTCGTCTTTAATACCTGAAGCTTTTGGATCCAGTTGTAACATCTTTAAGAAAATAAGGTTATTCATTTAGAGGAACTGTATAAATGCTTTAGCATTCAGATGTATCAGTACTACACAGTATCAAAAAAGTCCTTTCAGGCCTTTTTCAGGTTATAAATATGGAACAAACTTACCCATGTATGAGTTCCACATTCTTCTGTCAGGCTCTGTTGGTCTGTTAGTTTGTGGTCCAGATCTTAAAGAAGGGAGAAATAACATCAGATATTCCTTCTGGTGCTTGTTGTTAAAATATAACACTTCTAAACATTGTAGGATATGAAATGTTAGTTGAAATATTTTAACTAACAATTTGAAAGGTAAGAAGCTTGTGTTTTAAAGAAGAAAAAAAAAAAAACACAAAAAAACCACCAAAAAACCAACCCCTCCCCCCAACCATGCAAACCCTCAAAAATAGCAGTCCCAGAAGAGCTCTGAAATGAATTTCAAATTTGAGTGAATTCATTGAATATTACTAATGCATTGTCAGTATGCATTAATTTTGTTGATGTGTCAGGAGTCGTTGCATTACATATCGCACCCAGAACTCAAGTAGCTTTTAGGCATGGATGAGTTAAATACTTGATGATGAGTTGAAAATCAGAGCATTGCAAATTGATTCTATGAAACAGCTTTCTCATTAAATTCCAGTAACTTTCTGGAAAATATTTAGGTAGAATTGTAGCTAGGCTTATAAACTTAAACACAGATGAATTTTATATGAATTAGTCCCAAATCTCAAAGTTACAGCTCTATGGTTCTTGACTCTTTTGTTATGTCATGGCTGACATATCTTACTTAGACTAATTACTCTTAATATAGAAACTAATAAGCCATAACAATGGAGGTACCTGGGTATTAGAACCTGCCATCTTTACAGCTTTTAGAATAATTTGTTTGTTTTAGAATAATATAAAAAGACTTAGTAGCATTTATATGTAATCTTTGAAAGCAATTTATTTATTAACCAACATGTCCTTTCTAGGGGGGCTTAAGTGTCAGCAGCGGTGATTTTATGTTAATTGGATTGATGTAGACAGAAGCTTCTCTTGCTATTGATATCCTTATTTACAGTGGTCTGTAGTGCACTAGACAGGTTTTTGGTTTCCATTGTTGCACAGAACTGATGCTTTTTGTGGTTTACTTAACATGAAGGAGGTTTTCTAATAAAAGCATGTAACTCTACAATGCACTGACTAAAACTAGGTATCAAAATAGTAAGCATGCTTAACTCTGTACGTAGGTGTTATTTTCAGCTAAACGGAGTGGATCCAATTACAAAAGTAGTATCCTTTTTTTCCACTCTTGCAGCTTAAGTCTGTCGTAAGAGTCCTAGACTCCTTCAGCCATGTCCCCAGAGAGAAAGTCAGGCTTTTAGAATTTAAACAAAAAAGCTTATCCTGTTCCCCAGTGCCTGCAAATTCTGGAAGTTATCATTAGTCATGGGAAAGATCCTCAAGTTCAGAGGGGACAACCTGCAACTTGAAAGCTGTGACTGGAGCGTGCCATCTGCAATAAAGGTCTTGCAGTATTTTGAGCTAGAGGGAAAGCCATTTGGAAGTGACATACCTAATGTGCAATCCCTCTTCCTCCTAATAAATTAGCCAGTTGAGATGAATTTGGAAAGTGGGGGTGAATATAGAAAAAGGCGTCATTTCTACAGTGCTTTGAGATTTTGGAGAAGGTGGCACAGAGACTTGTTTGTTTGATCATGACTGCATTAAGCAGAAGGAATCAACTGTTCAAAGTTATAAACAGAGCATTTCTTTCATATCCTTTTTCTTAAATAATGTATGTTTTTCCACAGGGGTGTAGTTCCTTTCAGCCAAAGGAAGAAAATGCTAGAAAAGGCCAGAGCAAAAAATAAAAAGCCGAAGTCTAGTGCTGGTATTTCCTCTATGCCAAACATAACTGTTGGAACTCAGGCAAGTGCAACTTCCAAAAGTGGCATTTTTACAGTGCTATATGATGAGGTTACAGCCTGCTCTTAAAATAAACAAACCAAATTAGGTTTTGTTCTTGCTATGCACAGAAGTTGTATCAATAATATGGAATTAAAATAGTATGTTTTAATTGTATGACTGTAAATTGATGTGTCCTGTTAGTGTTGTTATTGTTTTATGAGTATGATTATTGCTGCAAACATAGAGGAACAAGCTGTACTCATGCAAAGTACTTCTGTTTTAACTTACCTACTGATTCTGAATTTTGAGAGAAAAAAGTAAGTACAGAAATATGATTCTCAATAGAGCACGTAGCTTTGTAAATGATTTGGCATTTAAATGCCTGCAATATTAGAGTTTAGATTTGATTTATTTATGCAGTGGCATAGACCTTTGGTTGAAGCCTTTACCAGAAAGGTTAATAGCTGATACGGAGGTATAGGATTCTTCTTGTGATTAGTATTAGAACTAGTATGTGACAAAACAGCTCCTTCCCAGGGAGCACATTTCTTTTGGTTCCCAGTCTATTCTAATCAACCCTGGGATGAGTCTTTGCTATTGGATGAATTGCTCATTTTGTGATTGGGCATCTAAATACTATATATGAAACAGTTGCCCTGCTTTCAACTGTGAATTGCACAACAGCCTCTTTTTTCCTAGCAAAATGCAGAGTACATCATGCTGACTTTTGTCTTCATCTAGCTCCATAAGTTTCGTTATTTTTTGACTACTACATATATCACTGAAAATGCATGCATCTATGATTTCCCTTAGGATAATCCATTGTTCTCATATAAATACATACTTCTTATTTGTAGGTGTGTTTAAGAAATAACCCCCTCTATCATGCTGGTGCAGTTGCTTTTTCAATCAGTGCTGGAATTCCTAAAGTGGGTGTGTTAATGGAATCTGTTTGGAACATGAATGACAGCTGTCGATTTCAGCTTCGGTCACCTGAGAGCTTGAAAAACATGGAGAAAGCTAGCAAAACTACTGAGGCAAAGTAAGTGTTGAGAATACAGATGCATACACACAGAACATTTATTTTATATTCTATTGAATGGGTGATTGATTAAAAATTGAAAAGAAGGAAGGTCAAATTTTCGTCAGTTTGAATTTTTTGTGTTCTTTATAAGATTCTAGCTTTCTTGTAAACTCTGCTAAATATGCAGAAATGCTCACTGCAGGAAAAGTGTCTCAGTTGTGTGAAACCACTGTGGAAATGTGAAATGCAAAAGGAACATTAGATGAAGACTTTCCTGCAGTGTTTCATACAGTTTCCAAGATTTTGTATTTGCTTAACTGTAAGTGGTTGCGTTAATGGAACTCACTGTTTTCAGGCTGTTCTTCATGGCATTGATAGACCCATTTCAGCCCCGCCATAGGTTGAAAAAAAATCATTGGGTTGACAATTGCCATTTAAATTTTCTTAAAACAGATTTAAACCATTTCAAGAAAAACTTGAAAAAGTTTAGCAGTTCTAGAGTTTCAGGCTACTGTATAAAGCTAATAATTCTTCCTGTCATCAAATGAAGCACATCTGAGGATGTTTATTTTCTGTAATATTGTATCTATGCTCGGTTAATGTTATAAATCCCTGGTTAAGAAGCATAGCCCCATTCCCAACATCAGATGTATTGCTTTGTCAGTTAGGATGGTTGTTTGCAAGTATGGAGTTATTTCATTAAAGTGTTATTAAAGAAACATGGCTGGGGAACACTGACACTTTGTCCATTGTCATCGAAAAGATGTCACCTTTTTCTTTCTTCATTCTAAGTAATAACTTTTATTCTAGACCTGAAAGCAAACAGGAACCAGTGAAAACTGAGATGGGTCCTCCGCCATCCCCAGCTTCCACTTGTAGTGATGCATCTTCAATAGCAAGCAGTGCATCAATGCCATATAGTAAGTAATGTGTAGCTCATAGTAACATAAAATACTTGCGTACATAAGAAGTTTTCATAGAAGGCGGTTCTACAAAGATTATGTACTAATTTCAGAATCTTTTTTGGTCTTTCAGTCTGAACTGCGATATATGTAAATGCGTTTGCAATAGACTTTAGACAATCAGTGAATTGTCAGTGTTAAATTTAAATGTATTAGTATAAGCAATGACTACTTGATGTAAGGTGTCTCTGAGCAAGCATAACACTTAGTTCTCAGAATCAAAAGTATCTTTCAGGAGGTGATCAAGAGGAAGTCCGAAGATAAAATTGTTTATGTTTAATTGCAATGTGACAGTGAGTTTCTTTACAGCGCAGAAGTTGAACTTGTTTTGGGAAATTCCTTTTAAGATTAAGCTGTTCTTGTGCAGCTTGCCTTGCATGTGAACTTCAGTGGATAAAGTAGCAGTTCATCATCTATTTTATAAAATGTCTAAAACTAGATGTTCTTTACTAACATACAAAAGCAGTGAGAGAAGTTCTGTAGTACAAGTCGTACCTAAAAACCTAAAAGACTGCATTTAGAATTCATGTAACTGACCTCTTAAGCATTTTTTGTCCATTTAAACCCATATGTTTATAAAGGATTAATTACTGTACCATCATTTGAAGAAATCTTCTCTGTGCTCCTGTTTCTTCTAATTGTTCACATACTGCAGTTTTGAGGCGTTCACCTAGAGAAACAAATGGCCTCGTTCAGTGACCAAGAAACTCATATGCTCAGATCTGCAGTACTGATTAATTTTACTAGTAGAGTCTTTTGCTACTGATTTCTGCTCTTTGCAGTTTTTCAGCTGTATTTTTTCACTGACTATAACTTTGCTTGGGATTTTGAACTAGGGTTTGAAGTTAACTTCACAGTTAGCTTAGAAGTTCTCCACTTCTTACTTTAGATATATTGATAATACTAATTATGCTATATACTCAATTCAGGAGATTAAAGGTTCTTGTCAGTGTTAATTTAACTATGTTATGTATTTGAATTTGAATTTACTGTTCAGATTATATCTTTGTAGCAAATCTAACTGTATTGCAATTGCTATTAGGCCAAATAGCTGTTTCTCTGCCTTGTTTGCAACTCTTCTAGATGTTTACCAAAAGATCCGTATGTAGTGGACAAGCAGACTTTTTGTAAGGCTGATATAAAGCGCTGTAGCAGGGCTGATGAAGGGTCTTACAATGTCAGCATTTTTACTTACAGCATGAATATCTGAGCCCTGCCAAAACAATTTCTTATATTCTAATTATTTTGCTTAAATGTTCTTAAAAATTGCTTTATCTCTCAGATAGGCTTTATTAGTGCTAATTTCATAGAGAAACATGAAAGTGGCATGGTATACTGTTAGGTAGCTCTGACTTTTAAAGTCAGATTCATGTTAACCTCTTGTTGATTTCTACATTGGACCATTGATAATCTTTTTTGGGGGAAAGGTTTGGTGTTTACTGAACACTGCATTTTGATGCTTTGATTAAATATTTCAAGGTTTTTTTTGGTAATAACTTTTTTGTCTCAGAGCGACGACGATCTACTCCTGCCCCAAAAGAGGAGGAGAAAGTGAATGAAGAGCAGTGGTCTCTGAGGGAAGTTGTGTTTGTAGAAGACGTTAAGAATGTTCCTGTTGGCAAGGTTTGTCTAAAATACAGTCCCACCATCTTTGGGGAGGGACGAAAAAAAAAGTCTTTCTGTTTAGATAAGCTAACTGTTAAAAGAATCATAGCTTTGGGGATGCTTGAGAATGTGTCTGACTAGTATGACTCTTGTTGCATTTTTTTATTTGTCCATAACACAATGACAGTAATAGTCTGAATGTGTTGTGAATAAAACATGATGAATCTTAAAAAAAATAACATTCTGGTACTTTAAGTTGGACCACAGTATTAGGAAAAGCAGATGTGCTTTTATCCAAAAAATTATTTTTAGTGACTTGAGCAATAGCTCCCACATGTCCAATGAGATTGTGAAGAGTTACAGGTGTTGTGACTGATTCTTACATAGCCAAACATTCAGCTGATGTGTGAGTCTCACGTTGTGGCAACCAAAGAACAGAGATGTTTTGATTTAGAAATGACATGCTTCATTAATATGACTCTGAAGTTATTTGATTTATTACTCCAGAAAATCTATTTGTTTGGTCCTTGTAATTTTTTCATTTGCTCTCGAGTAAACCTTTATTCTGAGTAAGAGTTCTGTAGAGGAAAGTACTCCATTTCTGCTTTGGCATTGTTGTGCAATATTAGGAGGGATTAGGTCATCTAGACAGTTCTCTGCTATGCCTTTCAAAAATAAGAGCAACAGGAAAGCCAATAAAGATTTTCCACAAAATGAAAAGATTGGATTGCTTTCTACTTGATTCACAGAAGATTAAAAAAAAAAAAAGCTACCAGAAGAGGAAATAACTCTAACTGCCTTCTGTTGGACAGTTATTTTACTTGCATCACCAATGGGTTTACTTGTGCGGGAGTGGAAGGTTTGCCTTGAGCCGTGTCTTTGAAAGGAGGCGGCCCACAATGAATTTTCATTATCAAGTTTAGGTCATTTCTGCAAAAGGGAGTGTGGAGCAACTTATTAATTCATTGAAACACTTCAGTTTCTGTAAACAAGGTTTTGAGGTCTGGTTGAAGTTGCTGAAACCATTGTTTGCCTTATACCAGCTTTGGGAAAGCCTTTGTTGTCCTTATCTGTCCTTCCTGGTTTAGATCCTAAGATTTTCAGGACAGAGACTGTTTTACTATTTCTGTATATAGTTGTAAATGTGCTTGTGCGCTGCGCTAAGAAGAGCTACTATAATAAATACAGAAGAGCTTGAATTTTTATATGTTGATACTTTCACTGAAGTGCTAAAACCAGTAAGTGGGCTGTCTTCTGAATAGAATAATTGGTGCTGAGTCTGTTCTATATCAGTCATGGCAAAGATGCTTTTTTTCTTCATAAAGCATGCTGTCCTTTTTTAGTGATGTATGTGGTCATTCCTTTCTTTTACAGTTTTTTTAACACTTTAGAGTTTAGATAAAATCCAGCAGTCAAAACCATAAAAAATTTTTTGCCTAGTGGTGTGCAGGTTAAAGATAGAAATACAGTTTATGCCCTGTTATATGTTCTGTTTGTAATTTGGATCAGTTGTGCGATTGTATGAAAAAGACTGGAGGCACCTCAGTCAGCAGAAGGGTTACTCTTTTCAGTATTCTCCTACAGGCTCCAGAATAGCTAAGGCTGTTCCTTGTGGAGCAGTAGTGTTTGTGATATAGCTTGTTGTGAGCTGAATTAAGCACAAAGAAGAGTTGAATTCTGAACAATCTGGCTGTTCTGTGCAGAAATAACTTTTGAATGTGTACAGAGGTTCAGACTGCAAAAAGATAACCCATGAAGTCTTAAGAGCCCAAATCCATATGATTAAGAAGTCCTGCCCTTTTAGAATCCATCCAGGTGTACCTTCATCTGATCTCCCATGGCTTTTTGTTTACTGAATGACATTCTAAAAAGTCACATCTTTGTTGTATTGGTATGGATGGCCTCAGTGGCATGAGCATTCTGCATGAGAATTTATTATTCCTATGTAACCTGGGAAGTTGTTACGTTTGGTATTTCAGAAAATTGGAAAGGCTTTGAAGCAGTATTTTGAGTTTTAAGTACTTGATGTTACAAAGCATGCTGTCAACAGAACAACACCTAGCTTCTCTCAAAGCGCTGCCATCAAGTAAAATATGTGGTCATGGAGCATGTGAATACTGGGACATCTTTGAGAAATATGCACTGGTAATTTGGCAGGTGTTTTTTGAGCACAACATGAAGTCAGTTGCACTAAACTAATTGATCTGTGAGACCAAAAATCTTGCCTTATGTAATGATTCAGATCTGAAGTAGTAAGAAAAATGATTTCTGTCCTTTTACCTGCAAGAACATCTGAAATTTTGAACATTTATATTCTCTAGAATAAAGTGTGATAGCCGTGAGCTTCTGTCAAAATGTTTGCCACCTTTTAAAAGTATTTAGATAATTTTCTGTTTTACATGAAAAAAAGAATTGTTCACTTAGGCTTCAGGAGGTAGAATTCAGAGATAGGAAAGGGGTTCAGGTTTACTGATGCTCAGCCTGTGTTCCTGAAATAATTTTATTTCTGGAAAATTTGTGTTCCTGTACTTCTGGATCTACGCAATAACTTCATGATGCCTCCAAAAAGTGCTTGGTTAAAATCCTTCCGAGACCACTGTTGTGTTCTGTTTGTAGAACGGTGGGCAGGTAGATGGCGTCAAGTTCTAACATGCCTGTTTGTCTCTGGGCTCTTACTGATCTTTATAGAGTAACAGCCCTCCCGAGTGCTGAGATCTAAGATGACTGCTTGTGATTATTCTGATACCAGTAGATTGTACAACCAGTATTTTACACACTGCTTCGTAAATGTGGATTGCGTATGGTGCCAAAGCAACAAGTGACCAGAGAGTGTGGTGTGAGAGTGCAAAAGTTCTTATGTTAGGACAGTCTTGAAAGAAATTAAGAAAGCATAAATCTGCTAGATATACTCTTGGATTTAGTAATCTTTCTCCTTGGAATGTATTCTCTTCCAATCTAATTTCAATTTAAATACTTCATGGGCTTGGAAAAAAACTAAGCCTTTGTTCCTCCAAGTCCATCATTAGATGGAAGAGGTAATGATTATGAAATTATCCACCTAATGGAAGACTGATAGAATGAAAAAGCCTGGCACTTACCTCTTCTGTTGTCTGGTGAGAAATCTGATGGAGTCTTTCAGTGTAGTTTAGAAAAGATATGGGCTGAAATAAGCCTTTGTTACTGCTCACTGGTATCAGAGGACTAGAAGCTTGTTTTGTCCATCCCATGCACTTTGGGATATTCTACTCACCCACAGTAGCTTCTGGATCTCCTCTTGTGGAATGGCTTAAATGGTATCTGGAACCACTTTTAGAACAAAAGGGTAGGGAACCTGGGTTGGAGCTGCTTTTTTCTTCTTTGCCAGCTGCGGTTCGTTTTGGTCTGAGGCTTTCCATTGGCAGTGTCAAAGGCCTCCCCAAACTGCTTCTGTTCATCAAAGTTACCCTCAATCAGGTGAGACTTCCGTGTATTACTGATTTTGCAGTTCCTATGCCCAGAAAGCTTAACAAATCCTAGGGGTTTTGTGAAACATAAATTTGGATTGAGTAGTTTGTTCTTTAATTTGTGCTTTGTATTGCATTATTTCAGTCAGTCACTTGAACTTCTTATTTTTTGTTTGATTTCTGTCTGAGATTGAAGCCTTCCAATGAGAAGGATAAGTTGAAAGAGCTCAGGCTGGATATAGTTCCAGAAGAGTTGCCTAATCTATATTAGGAATCTCTTTTTAATCCTTCGAAGTTGAATATTTTAAAAATTGTGTCAGTATTTCTTTGGAAGTGCTCATTCTACTTTGAGAGCAGAGGTAGAAGCCTTTTCTGTGATGTTAAAAATTTTTTCCATTCCAACAAGGAGGTTAGATAAGAAATAAAAAATGTGTTTTCCCTGGTCTCCTGCTGCTGTGTCTGGAGAGGAATATGGTTATTATGGAGAGGGAAAGATTCTGCAGATTAGCAGTGGGTCCAAACAGGTTTGCTTCTGAAAGACTCAAGTGCTGGTAGTCAATTTTGTTATTTTTAGAGGCTACTCAGCCTATCGTTAATGTGATTTTAAATGAGCAACCCTAAGAAGGAACAGGGGGGGCAGAAGTAGGGCTCAGGACTTGCCTCCACCCTCTTTTGAGGAAGGGACTTCAGTTGATTGTTTTCCGCCAATCAGTGTGCTTTGGCATTGTGGTTTAAAGGAGCATGGCAATGGGTTGATAAGGGTAAAGGAGATAACTGCGTTCATCTTTCAGTTTATCAACCCATTTTTTCTTCTGTTAAAAAAAAGATCAGGTCTCATTGTCCTGTGGTTGAAAATGCTCTAAAAAACATTTTGCTTTTGGAAAAAAGTCTTTAAATTTCCATTTTGTTGCTTGCTTTTCTTATTCATCTGGTTCAGTTCTTTTTAGTCCTAATAAGGCAAGCATTGTGTATGTAGTTCTGTAAAATAATTGTTTCTATTGCTAATGCAAAAGTTTCATCCATTATATACAATGTAAGTACATTAGTTCTGTAAGCTAAAGTTCTAAATCCTTTAAGCTCTTGCATTTTATTTTTGTTAATGTGTTTTTCAATGAATTCAGACTTATATAACTTCAATTAAAGAGGAATGTTAGTGTTGCTTATTTATCTTGTTTAGTGCCAGCCCATTATACCACATCTCTGCTTTGGAGCTTTCTATGTACAGTTGCTATCAAGTGTTTCACTCAAGCTCCTAGTTGCTTGCTACGTTAATGGATAGTTTTATTTTCTTTCTGTGCAATAGCCAATAACCATAGTAGTAACTGTTTAATTAAAGAACTGCATTTCAGTTACCCTTTGAAGAGGTGAATTTCTTCTCTACTAAATCTTAATAAACATATTTTCCAGTCTTTAACGATACGTGATTTTTTTTTTCTCGAACCACAGAATGGGAAAGAAAAAAATATTTGGCATGTGGACTCTGAAAGAGTCACTATAGAGTTCCAGTACTTTAAAAACTTGTCAGCATTTCTTTGAACACATGAAAAGTGATGTAAGTGAAAAATAATGTAGGTGATAATACTAAGAGCAGCCAGAAATCATGTAGAAGAAAACTTCTAGTTATGGAGGTAGTATATATTAACTATCTGGGGATTGTGCCTTTTCTTAAGGTGTGTTTCTTCCCCCTATCCACCGGTTATAAATTTGAAACTTCATAAACAAGATTTCGTACTCCCTGCTAGTCGTTGACCATTTAGAATCTTTTGTTTTCAGAAGCAGTCCGAATTTACAAAGCTTCTGTAGCCACATTTAGTCATTAAAAAAAAAAATAAAAAATTCTACATGTCAGACTAGAAGCTGTGGTTGAACCATTGGCATGTGATTTCAGGCTAACAAGTTAGTCTGATTACCTTAAAAATATCTAAATGTACCTTGATTACATTTTTTTTTACCAAATCACGATTTTTGTCTAGAGTGTTGTCTTTCAAGTTTTAGTAGAAATCTGTCTTTGCATAGTCTACTTTAGAGTTAATGTTCATTGATCTTTTGACTAGGTCTGAAGTTTGAAATTTTGGGGTAGTAGTCTTACAGCCGTCAGTGATGCTCTAGTTCTAGAACTAGGAACTCTGCTACTCCAGTGAAGTTTCAGCATATGGGGAGCAAGTGTTCTGACTCTATCCACAATAATCTTTGTTACAAAAAATCTAATACTTTCATATTTGTCAATATATCGTTTTCTCTAGCATGCTTGATAGGCTGCACCTAGCTAGAGAAATAGGGAGAAAACATGGAAATGCCTGAATTTTTATTACCTACAATAGCTTGAAAATTTGAGATGGTTTTTATTGTCAGGGACATTTTAGATAAATTTGATTACACCTAGATCTTCAGTATTGCTTTGTAAGCACTTTCTGTGTAGAAACTATAGAGAAATTAGGACCTAATCAAGATTGACGGTTGCTTGTATCTAGTTTTGATCAAGACTGAGAGCATACCGAGATCTTATTTCTACTCAAAATGAGAACATTGGCTGTCCTTTCGCCTGCCCCCTTCCCTTTCAGTTTTGTTTCCCTTTTGAGAAAAGTATGGTCTCAACTGGAAACTCAAAGGGCCTTGCTGTTTGGTGATAGCATAAGATGTTTCTATATCAAGGAAACCTATTTTGACAGTTGTAATTAGATATGCGTGACAGCAACTCTTCAGAGAGACTTACAGTCTCAGAAATTACTGTGCCAATGTGGGGTTGAATGACTTCCATTCCCTTGGGGGGCAGAGAAAGACACAGATGCATGAAGTATGTCATGATAGACTTGTCTGTATCCTCTAGTCCTAAGGGACTGAATGGAGAACTTTATCATCAAGTGTAAGCAACAGGTAATAGACCCATAAACCAACACTTCTTTTTTCCACTATGCACAGTCATCTTGAGGAATGAGCGCTAAGATTCTCCAACAGAGGCTTTAAAAATTCTTAGATGGGGCCAAAAAAAAAAGTTATTTCCTGTTTCTGTAGTACAAGAGCTAATGGGCACTTAAAGAAGTAAGAGGCTCAGGGTAGATGTTTTTTTGTTGAGTTGTTAACTAATGTTTGGAACTCATTGCCACAAGAATAGTGTTTATTTCCAAAAGTGATTGGATGAATTAATAGGAGAAGGGTCTATTAAACATGAAGTTGTCCTGCTGTTTCTAGTACATAGAAGCTGGAAAGATATCAGACAAGTATCAGTAGGAATTTCTCTGATCAGTTGGTGGTGGTTCCTGTTGGATAGAGGATGTTGAGATAGAGGGACCTTTGATCTGATTCAGGATGCCTATGAAGTCATTAAGAAATCAAAGTTTTTAAGATTTCAGTAATTTTAGCAAAACAGCAAGGCTAATGAGCAAGAACTGTAGAATGTTGCTATTTATTATTGTAAACTTTTTTCTTTTCCTGATGAAGGTCTGGTTTATTTTGAAGCAAATCAACCTAAACAGTTTCTGTTCAAAGCTTTTGGTAAAACTGTAATGTGTTCTGCTTGTAGGTGCTAAAAGTGGATGGTGCTTACGTTGCTGTGAAATTTCCAGGCACCTCCAGTAATGCAAACTGTCAGAGCAGTTCTAATTCAGATCCTGATCCTTCTTCTCTTCTCCAAGACTGTAGGCTGCTCAGAATAGATGAACTGCAGGTATGTCTCTTTGAAACATTGAGAAAACAATCATTATTTTGAAATGTCAGCACTGTGTGCTTAGTTGCATCTTAAAATGTTATGAATGTTTTCAGGTTGTAAAAACTGGTGGAACTCCAAAAGTTCCTGACTGTTTTCAAAGGACACCTAAAAAGCTATGTATTCCTGAAAAAACAGAGATCCTAGCAGTGAACGTAGATTCAAAAGGTAAGTAGGACTTACCCCATAAGATACTCTGTTGGATCCTTTATTACCTGTCTCTCTCCCTAATGGAAAACAACTACAGTCAAACTAATATAAATAGTTGTTTCCATTGATTAGTGATTCGTTAAAAGTGCTTTAGTTAGGAGTTCTTTTAATGGATGCCATCAGTAGACGACATTAACTTTTTTCTTTGTGTATCTTTGAAGGTGTGCATGCTGTTCTGAAAACTGGGAACTGGGTTCGATACTGCATATTTGACCTTGCCACAGGAAAGGCTGAACAGGAAAATAATTTCCCTACTAGCAGCATTGCATTCCTGGGTCAGAATGAGAGAAGTGTTGCTATTTTTACAGCTGGACAGGTTTGTGGTTTTGTATCTCAGTCTTGTAACCTCACTGCACTTCGCATCTGTCATCTTTGAATGGGATGGTACAGCCTTTTGTAAGACTTTTCCAAAGACTGGCAAATAAATAGTTCTTCAAACAGGTTATGAAAGACTTGCTGCTACCATTAATATTTTGAAGGTGCAAGGGGAATATCAATCTAACTCACTTAGGCACTTTTAGTAATGTTACTCAAATTCTACCTTGAATAGAAAGTAAAAAAGGGGAAAAAAACTTGATGGAGTAGTACCTGTGTTAGTGTAAACTTGTTATCTAGCTGTATTTTGGAATTGGGTCAGATGAAGATCCACTCTTGAGAATAAATGGAAATGTTAATTAAAAAAACCACCTGTATTTGATACTAAAAATTATATATTGAGGTTTTGTGCAACTCTTTCTAGTATCTTATTTTATCTGATTGTACAGCTTGATTATGCTGTGCAGGCATCTATGAGGAGGGCTGAGAAAAGATACCAAAACTCTTTTAGTAACTTCCATAAACATGATATACTTTGCTTAGGATAGTTGAAGGAAACATTTTTGGCAAAAGAACTGAATTTGAATGTTTCATTTCAATATGCTCAACTTTCTTTAGAGCATTCAAGTAAGCTGAAAGTATAGGTACTCTGTTTCACTGGTAATGTTTTGTAATGAATAGATATCATAAGTCGGATACTTTTAATAGTATTTACTATGTTAAGTACATTTCAGGCATTTGAGAAAGGGAATCTGATACCTTATGTTGCATGACTTGTAATGATAGGAGATGATGGTGTAAATGAGAACTTTAGATAAACTGTTGTCATTGTTGGCAGTCAAGCAGAACTGGACCTTTTGGGAAGGATAATAATCATAAATTGTGGAGACTTAATGATAAAACTTTTTTCCCAAATGTAGGAATCTCCGATTATTCTTAGAGATGGAAATGGTACAATCTATCCAATGGCAAAAGATTGTATGGGTGGGATACGAGACCCTGACTGGCTTGATCTTCCGCCTATTAGTAGTCTTGGAATGGGTGTTCATTCCTTAACAAATCTTCCTGCTAACTCGACCATCAAAAAGAAAGCTGCTATTATCATCATGGCTGTTGAGGTGAAGTATTTTCTTTACTACAGAATTATATGCCTTTTTTTGTCTTTCTTTTATAAAGTTGTGCTTAAAGCAGCTTGATGTTTAGATACCGATTTGTATTTTCACTATTTCAAAGAAACTAATTTCAACAGAAGATTCTGTTAGAAACATGAAAACATGAACAAATTTATGTAGTAAAGTGAAAGGTCTTTTTTGGGGGTGCATGGCTTCTGTATCAGGCTTTTAACTAGTAATATTTTTCAGGCATTACTTTTAGAACTGTTACCTTTTTATGTATACTACCAGTATACTATTTTATTTGTTTTATGGGTGCACAGTTTTTCTAAGGGATCCAGCAACTTGTTTTCTTGTGAAGGCAATACTTTTTTTTTTTTAAATTTTTCTTTTTTTTTAATCTTATATTTGGACCATACATTAGGAAATTATGAGAGTCAAGTGAAGGTTTTTTCACTTGAATTGCCTGTAGAGTCCTATACTCATCTGTGGTGCTGTGTGAATAGTTCTGCTGTGAATTTGTATGTCATACTTGGTAGAAACCTATCAGTGATTTCATGCAATTTGATTAGAGCTGGTGTGTGCTGTGCTGCCACCAGGAGGTATTGTGTACCTATTAGACTGAGATTGATTTCACAGTGGACTATTCTATCACTGTGGAAAGGTTGTTATATATGGGGTGAGCCTCCCAGACCTTCAACAACTTGTTTGTTCACTTCTCAGTGCGTATATCACTTGTTTAAAACAAGTACATAAGAGCTAATTAATGCAGACCTCTTAGTTTTTTCAGTTGTACCACTTTTCCTATGTTACACGTAACCATGAAATAGAAATAATCTATCTTAAGAACCTAGCTTTGAAGCCAAAGGCATACTTTTGTGAGCATGATAGCTTCTGCCGTTTAAGCCTCTCCTTTCCTTTAACATGTCTATGCCTGAATGTGTGCTGTTTTCTGTTTTTAACAGTGCAACAATTGAGATGATGTGTATTCTCAACAGTTCCTGCATTGAATTCTAGCCAGCGTCCTAGATTTAGACCTTCCTATTAGTTTTCTGGTTTTGAAATTAGAAGTACTTAGGAAACTTGCATGTCTACCTCTTGTATTTTAAATTGTTAAAATATTTTGTTCTTTTGAGTACAGAAACAAACTTTAATGCAGCACATTCTCCGATGTGACTATGAGGCTTGCAGACAATACCTAATGAATCTTGAACAAGCAGTTGTCTTGGATCAGAATCCACAAATGCTGCAGACGTTCCTTGGCCATAGATGTGATGGAAACCGCAATATTCTGCATGCTTGTGTGTCTGTATGCTTTCCAACCAGCAACAAAGAAACAAAAGAGGAAGAGGGTGAGCTCAACAATATCATGAAAATACTTTGAAAATCAACTTTTTATGCATTTTCAAGAACATTTGAAATAAAAGCTGCATTCTTCATATATGGTTATCGTAAAATTTAGCATTTAAAATGTGTCCTAGCCTTTCAAAGGTGCTGAGATAACATTTTTATTACTCTCATAAGGATTTATAAGAATTCAATAGTTAAGAATAGAAAAGTGTTTTTGAGACAAACTTTTCACGTCCACATGTTAATTTTAGATGAAAACAAGTATTTTTCCACTTATATATATCACTAGTATCTCCGTTATATCACTAGTAAACTTTTAAGAGAAACAATATTTAATATTTTTCAAGTGTTAAAGTCTATATTACTGCCTCCAATAAGAAATGCTACTTGCAATTGACACGTTAAAAAATGTGAAAGAATGACCTTCTGTTAGTGCCAGTTACTGACACCATTTAAAAATGTCTATTGAATACTGTCATGTAAAAAGTATGTTAACAGAACAAGATTGCTAAGTCAAGCACTCAAAAATTAGGAAATGCCAGAATTAAATTTACCCATGTGCTATACATGGGTATGCATTGTGAAATGGTCTTTAATTACACCGTCATACTATGTTTTTCCACAGGACTACCTCATTCAGTGCACAAGATGGATGGTGCTCACCGAATGGGTAGCTATTCAATATTTCTTTTTATCCTCATCATTCAGTGTGTGGCCCCATTCCTTACTTATTGCACACCATACAAACCCTGCACTGAATAATGAATGAACTTCCTTGTGGGATTTTTGTATGGTGCTGTCATTGAATTTTAGTCATTTATAGACCTTAATTGTTCCTCATATCCCTATTTATAAAATGGGGGTAATGCTGCAGCTTTTGAATCTCTTGAAAGTATTACAGCTTGAAGTTTTTCTGTATTCAAAGCTATTAACTAATTTTGAGGGATTCTGTTTGAGAAGCCTAGGGCCTGATCTCATTTTTTGGACTAGGTGTTATTTCAAAACACTTTATTCTAGAGCTGGTTTAATAGTAGTTTTAGTTGTTCTGTGAATGCTAATTATTTCTGTGAGTCAGGCACCTTTTGGGTGTCCAGAAATGAGTAAATGTATTACAATTATCTGTAAAAACTTGTTTCACAAAGTTCTGTGTGCTGTTAGATGTGGCAGAAATAGGTTCCAGTCCTCCAGAGTGATGTTCAGTGGCATTAAACACAAGACAACGCTTCCCCCTCTCATTGCCAAGCTGTTACTGCCTTACTACACGCCTTCCAAGCATTGCAGCAAACGGGGCATAAACAGCTTGCTCATTGTACAATCCTTCATCTTTAGTGTGTCGTCCATCCTGTGCACTGATTGAGGCAAGGGGCGGGGGGTGGGTAACAAAAAAAGCCAAAACGAAAAAAAAAAACAAAACTCAACTGTGTAACTGAAGATTATTTTACTATAAGCACACACAGGGAAGCTGAAATAAGGATGCATGGGCAAACTTAATCTGACTTTTCCTAATTTGAGTGCTTGTCTTTGCAACCTTGACCTTTTTTCAGTAACTTCATTTGGATGTAATTTACCTTTCTGAAAAATGAAAAACGTGAACCTGATAGACTTTTAACACCCCTCTGCCTCTCTCTTTCCCCTCACAAAAATTGTTTTAAAAGGGGATTAATATCTTTAGATTCAAATCACATTCACCTTCCACTGTAATTGTTAGCAATGGATCTTAGGACAAGCTTATTTTCTGTGCATCATCTGGAGGGCAGTGGTGACTAATGTTACTGTCTGTACATTATACAGCCGTCTGTTACATCAAACTTCCTTTACATTTTAGGAGTAAAGACTTCAATTCCAGACTCCAGATATGATGTCCCTTAACAATTACAGAACATACTGCCCCTTCCCAGCTAGTACCTGCCTGAGATTCTTTACTCTTCCTCATATAGGTTCCTCCTTAAGTGCTGGAAAGGGAATATTGAGGACAGGGATAAGCTTTTTTTGTTCTCCAATCCTGTGCCTAGTTTCACCATAGCTCCTGCAGCATTGGGTAACTGAATTGCAGGAAAAGTGGCCCTAGACCTGCAGAGCTGGGGGAAGGCTGCTCTGTTTCTCTGTGACTTGATATCGCCTCGGTCTCGCCAATGGAAAGGATCTTGGAAAAGACAGGTCCAAAAGAAACATCCAAAGCATGTGAAATCTTTAAAGAGTTATGATATTAAATTTCAGATAACTTTACTGAACACATACAAACTGATTTTTTTTTTTTTTTTTTCTAGAGAGTTGGGACAGATTTCATTAGACAACAGAACAGCAAATTACCCTCAGAGCCAGGGCATTTACAATTGATTGGTCTCCAAAAATTAATACTAACTTCATGAGTGGAACAGCAACAATTCAGTTAGTTTACTGTGAGACCAAGGTTAGGTGAAATCTCTCTCTTGCAGAGAATGGTTGTATTGCTTGAGGGATCGATCACTCAAGAGCTGTGACCCCCTGTGTGAGGGTTCCAGATGGGTCATGAGTTAAGAGGACTAGTGGATCTTAGAAAGGAGTGCAGCACAAGTACAACGGCAATTCAATTACAACTACAGGTCAGCTGGTATAGAGCTAGGGGCACAAGAGTAACATTCTGCTAAGTGCTTGATAGTAGTCTGTTGTGGATAGTAGGTGATTTTTGTCTAAGAAACCTGCACATGCTTGAGAACAAGCAAAACTTAAGACCTTTGCAACTTCAGGTAGTGATGAATAGAAAGATCTAAAGGATAAACGTACTATAAAAGCTGACAAACACCACTGAATTACCTTATTCTATGAACTCAAATTTAAAGGTATTAGTAGTACATTTGTCAATGGAGAGAATATGAATGCAGAGGATGGTGACTGTCAGTTTAAAAAACCTTTGAATGGGAAGTGAGCACTAGCCATAGCAACTTTGAGACATGTCCTGAAAGAATGATCAGAGTCACTTTATGTAAACTTTTTTTGGTTTTCAGAAATATACCTTTTCATTCTAGTTTGTACCAAAAATTGTCTTTCACTCTGAAAGGAAGATTGCCCCTCTCCTGGCCTGTTATCATGCTGAAAGTGGCTTTTCTGTCAGTTCTTTCTGAATCCATGGTTGTAGTGATTCATAATTTGCTGTGTAGTGGCTATGCAATCTTTAATTGTTAGTAGCTCCTAAAGAAACAATGACTGATACTCTGTGCAAACCTTGTACAGCTGACTTTACTGCTTTATCTCTGTATTTATCTTGCAGATAAATCTACATTAGGTCTTTGATTCAGGTGGCTACTTCAAGTTGTACTGTAACTGTACAACTAGGCAGTTTTTTTATATTCTGTATAGCACTTGGCACAATTGGGTCCTTGTTATGACTAGGACCTTTAAGTTATGGTGCTTAGGGTTTTAGATGTTAGAAGAAATGTTCATTCTTTCTGATGTAAACTGATTGTGCTGTCTTATAACGCAGTTAGTTCTAAGCATGCTTGTAAGTCGTGTATCTTACAAGCCCACAATTTTGCATTGTTCATAGCTGCTCATTGTGAAGTGTGAGTTTGTTTTTGGTTTTGTTTGTTTGTTTGTTTTTTGGGTTTTTTTGTGGTGGTCTGGGTCTTTTTGGTTGTCATTACTTTTGAAGCCTGGACTTGCCAAGTGTCTGGAATCAGCTATGTGATAGATGGGTCCATGTCTCTTGATGATACTGATACTGAAAACTGAAAGCTTGTTCTGGAATTTGGGTGCCTTGAATTTCCTTCCTTGATGGCCTTTTAGAAACCAAACCCAGTCAGAATCATGGTTAAGCTTGTCCAAAATAAAAATTTTATATGAACCTACTCTGTCCCTCTAATTCTTTAAAAAAAAAAATAAATAAAATGCAGGGAACATTTTATGATTAGTGACATTTCATACTTTATACTCCTTCCTTATAGTTTTCACAAGTGAAACTTTGGCACTAACACTGTTCTTAATTTTTCAGAAGCTGAGCGCTCTGAAAGGAATACATTTGCTGAAAGGCTCTCTGCTGTGGAAGCTATTGCAAATGCAATCTCCGTTGTGTCAAGTAATGGTCCAGGAAATCGGGCAGGATCATCAAGCAGCAGAAGGTAAACTGACTAATGCTTTCTTCTTGTTTTCTGTATGCTAATTTCTGTATTAATTACCAATCGCTTGCTAATTCTTTCCTTCAGTCTAGTTCATGAACGGGCTCTATTGCTAGTTTAAAGTCAAATTTCACTTCTTCAAGCACCAAACTAGAGCTGTAGTGGGTTTTTTTGAAGCCTTTTCTGGTGTGAGAACTAATGGTGGGATATTTCTAAACTAATTCTGTTTTCTGGGGTTCGGGCATTGTCTCCTCAGTTGTAAAGTGGAAATGCTCCTCCTTGTGCGGAAAGGGAATTTGGGGATAAGCTCTAGTGTTCCTTACCAAGGAGAGTTAAGTATTGCAGAAGTACTATAATAGCACCCAGGCTTGTCCTTTTAGGAGAATTTCTGAGGGAAGTGGTTGCTTACATGGATTAATACTGAGATCAATGTAACACCAGTGGGGAAGAACTTAAGTTGATTCTTTTTATATTTTATATTAAGCAATCATTGTTATAGTGGAAGTCCTTTATATCGAGGTGGCTCTAAAAGGATAGGTTTCTGACCCTGACAGAACCCTAATTTCTGATGACATTTAGGTTCTTCCTCTTTCCATGATGGTAACTGAGTGGTGCTCATGTCAAGGGAATTTGACAGTATCTGTACTGAGTTCTAATCAGTTCAGAGCACTCTGGATCAGGGCATAGTACAATTTTTTTGCTTAACTCTGTCATCAAAGAAATTGACATGAAATGATGTCTTTATCCTTTGCAAGCTACAGTCCTCGTCACTGTGGTTTTTTTGATATGGGAGATAAGGGTAAGGCTTGAAGATTCCCTCCCACGTGCTGTAGGAGACATTACTCTTTAAGATGAAATGCATTTAAAAAAACCCAACCAAACCAACAAACACCTTGTATTTGTACCTCTTTGTATCACACTGAGTTCTTTGGCTTCTACCTTATTCCTGCCACCTTTCCCTCTAAGATGATACAGAATTTCTTGAAATTGGTTACTGACTATCCTCAGTAAAGTAGTACTTTCATGTTCAGTAGCTTTAAACAAATAACTCCTTTGAAAAACATTTTTTTTCAAGCCCCATTTTTATTCTTTCATTAACCTCTTCTTGCAGTTAGATTTTAAAAAAACAACAGCAATAAAAAGCAAATACTTGCAAAAGCTTAACACCTCTGGCAATGAGTTTGGGGTAAAAGGAATGTCAATTTTGTGGTAATAATGCCCATCAGCTGCTACTCCCTGCAAGAGGCAGTGCTGTCATGACTAGGGTTGCATTCTGGGCTTGAGTCTATCTTGGTATATTGCTGGCTGACTCTTCTTCCAAGGCCATTATGTTCTGTTGCAACAAAATGCAATACAGGAATGAAAAATACCTCTTTGCTCATTCTTCCTTATGCTGAAGAAAAATGGAGATAGGAAGAGTTTGATTTCCTTTTTCAGTGTGAAATACTTATTTAAAATGTTCTAATTATAAATGCAGATGAGATAGTATTTTTACCTTGGGTTTGTATTCAGTTTGAGATTAAGGGAAATGATGAGAAGATCCTTGAGAGCTGCAGGATTGGGCAGACATGAAGCTGGTGCTTCATCAAGTGATCACCAGGATCCAGTTTCTCCACCAATAGCTCCTCCCAGCTGGGTTCCAGATCCTCCTGCAATGGATCCGGGTAAGTCTGTTCATGTATCACGTTAGTCTGTAGAATGAGAGATTTAATAAAGGAACCAATGGCTTTTAAGGAGAATCACTTTAGATTTCGGCATGAGACTAAAATACCTAAATGTCATTGGGATAGCAAGAGGTCACTGAGGTAGCTTTAAGAGTTTACTGAAGATTTAACAGCTGATTTTAAATCCAGTACGTGTCTTTCTAATGCTGGTGTCAAACTTCTCTGAAGTGTGTTTTGTCATGTTGAGTTATAGTACTAATTTAGGAATGTGGCCATTTGTAGGAAAGAGTACCAATTAAATACAGAAAACCTGCAGTGTGTTAGACGTTGCAGAAAGAGCATATTGTTAGGGATGTTTTTATGTATTGATATACATCCTGCTGTTCTGTTTACTGAAAGATGGTGACATTGATTTTATCCTGGCCCCCGCTGTGGGATCTCTTACCACAGCAGCGACTGGCACCGGCCAAGGACCTAGCACCTCTACGATACCAGGTGAGGACATACTGCTTATCTGATTATGTTTTGGAAGGAAAATTATCTCAAAAGCTGTCTTTGCTTGCACAGACTTTCTGCATATGAAAATACCTCTTATCAGACGAAGATTGGATTGAAGCAGAATTTCACAAGTGTGCAGAAAGTAAATGAAGCACCATGCTGTGTTTTATGTAAAAATTATTTTTACCTGGAGAATGACAAATATGTAAAAATATGGTAATCGATATGGAATTTGGATTATTGTCTGTGTTTCAGAATGTAATTTGGAGCTGAAATTTATAGTACTTCAGTGAAATGTTGCTGAAACTGGCAAATCACTGAATAGTCAAGCTGCTGATTAATCACTCCAGTGAAACACTGAATTATTTGCTTTTAATAGGTAGTCATTTTTTGAGGAAAAACTGTTTCTCTACAATTTTTTTTTCTCATTACAGGTCCTTCTACCGAACCGTCTGTAGTGGAATCAAAGGATCGGAAGGCAAATGCTCATTTCATACTGAAATTACTATGTGACAGTGTTGTTTTACAACCTTATCTTCGAGAGTTGCTGTCAGCAAAGTAAGGATTTTTGTATGAATTCTCACTATCCTTTGTAATGTTATATCACCTGAAATTTATTACATAGAACCCTTTTTAAAAGGTTATTTAAAGGTGCATTAGTTAGAATGGAGAATGTTAGAATATTGGCTGTATTTGTGTCCTGCCATCCCTTAAAATTAGCTGTATTTCACAGAAGTAAAACAAATAAGAGTGCTTTTTCACTCCGTGGTTTTTCTGTTTGCACAAGATTAGCAGTGCTAAGTTTTCATATATTTATTTCCTACCTTGTCTGTTATAACAAAGAAATTTTTTGTGTTTTAACTTGTCAGTTGTTTGTGTTTTTTTTTTTTTTTTTTTTTTTTTTCCTTAGGGATGCAAGAGGCATGACACCATTTATGTCAGCAGTTAGTGGCCGGGCATATCCTGCTGCAATTACAATTCTAGAAACTGCACAGAAAATTGCTAAAGGTACACCAGTTTCAGTAATTATTAGTGTGTGGTTTCCTTCTGAAGTTTGGCATGTGTGCAGAGTCGTTATTAACAGTGCTTTTTTTTGTGTGTGAGATTACATGTGCTTGAGCAGCTGGTGATGGTGGTAAATACCTCTTTCCAAAACACTATATATTGCTGCATGTTTTGGAAATCTTGCTATTATGTAGTATCTTCCTCTTTTGTCTTTTCAGCACTTCATTGCTTTACAAACATCAGTGGATTAAGGTACTATTTTTCAGTAGCACAAAGGTATCACCTAGAACTTCTTTGAATTGGAAAAAACCAATATGATAAAGCAGTATGCCAAGCTAGATCCTGTTCCTAAAAAGACTTCTATACAAACACATGTTCTGTGACTCTCTTTTGATGTTGATATTTAATTGTTTAAGAGAAGTATGTGAAGCTGAACTTGAGGAGAAATTTAGGCAGATTAGAACTGTGGTGTGACAAGGTCTGTAGGACTATGTGTATTCTTTATAAGAATATTGCCTATAAATTATTTTTTAATCCTTTAGAATGGTGGTCCACTGAATTTTATTAGAGTATCGGTGACTTTAAAACTGGGGAAGAGTTGATGGTTGTATTTTTCAGTCAGGAGTTTGCAGCAGCTTCTGTAAGAAATACCTGTAATGTGACAAGCAGAAAGCTTTCTCAAAAGACTGTGACAGAGACTTTATTCAAATTTCTAATTCTGTATGGGATTTTGTAATGGCAAACGTCTGTCAAGCATGGGTTCTGTTGGTGGGGTTTTGTTACTTTTTGGGGGCTGTTTGTAACACTGTTATTCTATTGTTCTTTTAGCTGAAGCAACTTCCAGTGAAAAAGAAGATGATGTGTTTATGGGAATGGTTTGTCCTTCTGGTACAAATCCAGATGACTCTCCTTTGTATGTTTTGTGTTGTAACGATACATGCAGTTTTACATGGACTGGCGCAGAACATATTAACCAAGTAAGGCTTTTTTTTTCTTTTTTCCTTTTCTTTTTAAGTAAATAGGAATATGTTTGAACCATGTGTTAGTCTACTAATCTAATTTTAAAATTACTAAAGTTACATTGTTTTAATTACTGTAATTTTTAAGTCTGGTATAGTTGTTACCTCCCCTAATTGCTTTGTAGTCTCAAAGCTGGTTGTGTTGGTCAGAATATGGCTGTTTATGGGTGTGGACTTTTCCTCTCTTGGCTAGCTTTGGCAGAAATTTTGATGGAAACAGCTCTTTGAAAACACTGACTATTCTAACTAACAACAAAGTTTCACTTTCTAGAATTGAATTAGTTCTAAGTGAAGGCATCAGTTTGAACAGGTGCAATTTTATTTTAACTTGAAATGCTGTGAGATTGCAAGTGCTGTAGGGAGAAAACTATGCATAATATTTTTGGTAAATTTTTTTAGGATATATTTGAATGCCGAACATGTGGCCTATTGGAATCTCTTTGTTGTTGCACAGAATGTGCAAGGGTCTGTCACAAAGGCCATGACTGCAAGTGAGTATTGTGTTCTGTTTCTTATAATTAAATCAATATTTGGTGATTTCATTTGTTTACTGATAGTTAATAGGTTTTTTCTTTGGATGAAGTGTTCAGATATTAGAGAACAGAAGATTAATAAAATATTTTAAATATCTTCTTTGCCTTCTGCTCTGTAAGATTTATTTTATGGGTCAGAATTGAAAGAGTGACCTGAAGCAGCCTTGTACTTTTTGCTTTATAGAATTTAGAGTAAATGAATAATTCTGACACCCTTAAAGTGCTTAATATTCTAAGAATAGTATATCCAAATAATACCATGTTTTCATTTTGGGTGCCTCCAGGAGTTCTCTGAAGCCAGTGAATCCTGATGACAGATCATTCTTGTAACCTTTCAGAACAAAGTGTAGCATATTAATCCCTAAGATCAACTGTAATAAAGGGAAAAGTGAGCAAGCAGTCAAATGAACAGTGAAGAAGTCTCATATCAACCTAGCCAAAGCTTTGAAGCTGCAGATGTTTTGTGCCACTATTACAGAGTGTAAATATTACAGCATTAATGTCCTAGCTATAATAACCTAACAGATACAATCATAAAGATATCCTCAGTATTGTAACAGTTACTGAGATTTTACAGTGTGTAGTGAGGATTTCCAACTTAACTTTCTTGGCTGGAGGCTATTTTGGGGAAGAATAAATGGTCTTGGATGAGCTTTACTAAGGCACTATGGAAAGCTCCATAGTGAAACTGTCCCCTTAAAATGAGTGTAGGAAACAAGAATAGCAAATATCAAGTGTTGCCACATACAAACTCTGCATTTCTCTTTTAAGCTAGGTTTTGGCATGTTGCTACTCTAATAAACAAAAAACTCAAAGCAAGAATCTTAATGTGTATACTAACACCCTCAACTTGTGTAGAAAATATTTGGTATATTACTGAACAGTGTTGCAACTCACCTTTTCTATTTCTTGTAGGCTCAAACGAACATCTCCAACAGCCTACTGTGATTGCTGGGAAAAGTGCAAGTGTAAAACACTAATTGCTGGACAAAAGTCTGCTCGCCTTGATCTCCTTTACCGCCTGCTTACCACCACAAATCTTGTTACCATGCCAAATAGCAGGCGAGTTCCTGTTTGCAATGACTAGAGCAGAATAATTTTTATTATTTTTAAGTATGTGGAGTATCATATCTCTGCTAATCAATTTTTTATTACAGAGGAGAACATCTGCTGCTGTTTTTAGTGCAGACAGTTGCCAGGCAAACTGTGGAACACTGCCAGTACAGACCGCCTAGAATTAGGGAAGATCGTAATCGTAAAACTGCGAATCCTGAAGGTAAGAGCTGTTTCAGGGAAATAAATGTCAAATTCCATATTTCAGTACCTATTTCTTATATTGCTTTTTTGTCTCTTCAGATTCTGATATGCCTGATCATGATTTAGAACCTCCTCGTTTTGCCCAGCTTGCTTTGGAACGTGTTTTGCAGGACTGGAATGCACTGAAGTCCATGATCATGTTTGGCTCCCAGGAAAATAAAGACCCGTGTGTATTTACACATAGTTGTCAATGTAAAGTTTGATCTGATATTTGAGACCTGCTGACTTACATAAATTTTATTTCCTTTCTTTTTGTTTTTTCCAAGTCTTAGTGCAAGCAGTAGGATAGGTCATCTTCTGCCTGAAGAACAAGTTTACCTTAATCAGCAAAGTGGAACTATTCGCTTGGACTGTTTTACGCACTGCCTCATTGTCAAGTGTACAGCAGACATTTTGGTAAGCACTCTTAGCTATGTTTTACATAGATTTTCTGAGTAATGTGATACTATAGTGCATCTCAGGTGATATGCTTGAAGACTAGTTTGAAAATAACTTCAAGTTAGTTATGTTTTTGTGAATGTATACTGTTATGACTGTGGTCTCCCTTTGAATCTTAATCTGTCTTGTTTTATGCTTCTAAATTACACAACGCTATTGGGTTGTAATGACCTGTTTCTACAGCTCTTAGATACTTTATTGGGTACTCTGGTAAAGGAATTACAAAACAAGTATACGCCAGGACGCAGAGAAGAAGCTATTGCTGTTACAATGAGATTCCTGCGTTCTGTGGCAAGAGTGTTTGTCATTCTTAGTGTGGAAATGGCTTCCTCCAAAAAGAAAAAGTAAGTGGTGGTCGTGGGGGTGTTGGTTGTGGTGTTTTTTTTTTCTTTATTTAAATATTTATTCTCTTATTACATGAGTTGATACAAATCAACAGTAGGCAGAAACATCTGAATTAATTTGTGGTCTGTAGGCAGCATTGTGTAGAAAGGTGCAAACCTCAGGATTGCACAATAGCTGCTGGTATGTCATGTAGCTTTGTAATACAACAGATGTTAAACTTACATGTTCATACTGAACCTTTCTGTTTAAAATGTTAGGATTTTGTAATTTTAACATGTTAAAAAAGTCTACTTCCCAATCTATGGTTGTTTGTCAGTCATAGATTTAGATATCAAGCCTTAGTCTGGAATTATTGAATGATAAATGTTTTTAACTGCCTTGAATAGCTGTTCATGTTGTTACTATACACACAAATGTATGTATCTGTTAAAGATAATTGTCTTGAATGAAAAAAAAATTGGTATCACCATAAAGTTTTTTGGAAAAAAAGACAAGTTTCTTGACCTTTATTTTTTCATATTTTTTTTCCCTAGCAATTTTATTCCACAGCCAATTGGAAAATGTAAACGTGTATTCCAGGCATTATTGCCCTATGCTGTTGAAGAGTTGTGCAATGTAGCAGAATCTCTAATTATTCCTGTCAGGATGGGAATTGCACGTCCTACAGCGCCCTTTACTCTTGCTAGCACTAGTATAGATGCCATGCAGGGAAGTGAAGAACTGTTTTCTGTGGAGCCTCTGCCACCCAGACCATCATCTGACCAGTCCAGCAGGTAAAATTTGCTAAAGCTAACTATTCGCTCTTTTCGAAGACTTGTTAAAGGTGGTTTTGTTTGGGGTTTTTATTAGCTTTTCACTAACAGAAGTACAGTGAGGCTTCTTATTCTGGCCAAGCGTTTTGGAAGTACTTTCCTAGTGACAGATTTCTACAGTAATTTAGGTTAATAGTGACGTTCAGAGGTCCAAATCTACTTTTTTTTTCTGTCTTTTTTTTTTTTTTAAAGTTCTAGTCAATCTCAGTCATCCTACATCATAAGGAATCCTCAGCAAAGACGAATCAGCCAGTCACAACCAGTTCGTGGCAGGGATGAAGAACAAGATGATATTGTTTCAGCAGATGTAGAAGAGGTCAGTTTTCTTTTTTTTGTGTGGGTGGTTTTTTTTTTTTCCTTCTTGGTATGGCACGTATTGCATTAGCACATACTTTAACATCTGAACCAGAAATCCATGCATCAAGACCTTCGATTTGCAAAAGATACTGAGTAGTACTTCATGAAGTCCTACCATGCCATAAGCATTTTGTTTTAACACAGCTTTGTAATTGCTGGTTTGTATTTTAGTCATTTCAGAGTATACCAGGTGCCTTGCATTTGACAGAATTACAGTATGATTTAGAATACTAGTAAATACATCTGTCATTTCCTTTAGATATAAACTTATGCTGTATTATAATCCCTGCTAAAAAAGTTTTCAAGTCTTTCGGCAAATGGCTGCTATTACGTAGGTTCTATTAGAGAACTGGAGGGTCTTTTACAAGGATGGTAGCTCTTCAGTATTTAAAAACTAATTTTAGGTTTTATAGTCAGCTTTGCCCTTTCAGTATTAAAATGTAATGTCCAAGCCTGTGTTTTATCTGTGGGCCTGATTTTTTTTCTTTTTCCACAATGCTGTGGACTGTACAACTATGTTGCAAGTACTGTGGCTGTAAGTTCATTTTCTGTTCAAGTCAATTGAATTGTGAGGTCATCTTTCTTAGATGTGTGTGTGTTTTTTTGGTTTTTTGGGGGTTGTTTTTTGCTTGGGTTTTTTTTTTCCCCCTGAGTTTTTGAAAATACATAGGTTATCGCTGATGCAGAAGGTTCTCTAGCATAAAATTACAATGCTCTTTGCAGGTTGAGGTAGTTGAGGGGGTAGCTGGTGAAGAAGACCATCATGATGAACAGGAGGAACATGGCGAAGAAAATGCTGAAGCAGAAGGACAGCATGATGAGCATGATGAAGATGGTATGTATAACATACATCATGCACATTACTGCTTGGATGAGCAAAACATGCATCAAAAACCAAAGGCACCTTTTGAGTCACCAGTGATAATGATTTGGGCGAAGTGCGTGAGTAGAGAGAATCCAAGGGTTTCAGACTACACATCTTACAGAAGGAGATGAGTAAAATTACAGATAACTTGTAGTAGGCAAGTACATGAACATTTTTATTTTTCCTTTTCCTCTTGAGGAGAAAATCCTAAGGTACCAAAGGATAAAAAAAATGAACCTCAAATGTTGTTATATGCTTGGTTAACAATATCTATTTTGCCTTTTGTATTTGCTACTGTAAAATGTTGTTGACATAAACTACTTGAAGGACTGAAAAAAGAGGCTAGCTCTTATATGGCTGATGATAAAATAGTGGTTATGGTATATGTGTTCTCAAAAGGGATCTGAACGATCGTGAGCTAGTTTCAAACCAATCATAAAATACTAAATTATGGTTCAGTGTTTTGTAGACAAAATTAATCCATTATGTATGAAAATTCTTGCCATTAATATGACTTGTCTTGTTTTAGTTAGTTTGGTATTAGATGGCCCAAAACTATAATTTTAAAAATAAAAGTATCATCTTTTCTTTCTGACTGTGTCTTGTGTTTCCAGTCAACCCACTTACAGTACAGGAAATCTGTCTGAGTATTCAAAATATTTAATTCTCAAAACTTAAACTTGAATAGAACCTTTGTTTTTTAAGTAGTGGTTTGGTTGGGTTTTGGGTGGGTTTTTTTATTTTATTTTTCAGTTTTCAGGCATCCCTTAGATATTTGTTTGAAACAGTATATGGCTAATTGTCCTAATACACGTGCATGAAGAATTGTGGAGTCTTTTGTCTTGAGTGACTAATTCTGAATCCTTAATTTTCAGTGTGTGTGTTGAATGTATATATGCAGTACAGAGTGAGAGGGCAATGGCTTGCTAATTGCTGGAAAATAAGAAAATACGCTCTAAGTATTGCTGCATGTTTGCACTGCTTTTATGACCTCTCCCTGCATATCCATGAACTTCTGCTATAGTAAGAGGCTCTGGGTTTTGTTTAATGTGTCTTATATGAGTCAATACAGTCATTCTGTGGTTTTTTTTGTTTGTTTTTTTTTCTCCTTCTAAACATGACATGTTCTGTATATTGTTTTTATAGGCAGTGATATGGAGTTGGATTTGCTAGCTGCTGCTGAAACAGAAAGTGATAGTGAGAGTAACCACAGTAATCAGGACAATGCTAGTGGGCGCAGGAGTGTTGTCACTGCAGCTACTGCTGGGTCGGAAGCAGGTATGCCACATCATCTTGCATTTAATCTAGCTGTTTACATTTAGATACTAGGATTAAGTTATACAGGAAGAAGAAATGTGTTCGTGATTGAATATGGCTTTAACAAGGGTAGAACTGGCTTCACCAAAAAAATGCTATTCTTTGCCTTTGGGTCTGGACTGCATCCAGCACTCCAGAGGTATACTGGAGAAATTACTTCACAACTAGATTGGACAGAGTGAGAATTACCTGGTTATGACACTTTAACCAATACCTTTCCCTTGTAATCTTACTTTCCTTTATTTTTTTCTCTTCATCCAGCTTCTTCCCTCCCACCTCTGCCTTCCTCACGTTTCCTGTTTTTCCTCTGCTTTTCATTTGCCTGTAATTGTAAGGTATCATGCAGACTTTTTCGCTGAGGAGACGTGCTAAGATGAGGCCTGTCTTTTTTTGTTCTTATGGAGCTTCTGCATGTGTTAGCCAGAGATTACCCTGCACTCTTGTGAAGTGAAATGAAATGTTTTCACTCATTTTTAGTGTAGAAGTTAGATACGGTTTAAAACAAAACACAAAACCTGACTATCATTTTAAGGCTTTTCAAAAGCAACTACTCTACTGTCCAGTTTGGTAGCATAATTTTTAGAATTCATTGCCTGGGGGCAGAATCGGTGAAGAATGTTTAAATCAAATTATTTCTTAATTTGTCTTTCGAAATGTAAGTAATCTTACTGCTTTTTCGTGAAACCTATGGAAAATTAGCAGTATGTTATAAGGATGATTTATTAAAGATTTTCAGTAGTGATACTTGAACCTTTTTACTACATATAGTTTCTTCTCATGGAAAAAGTTTACAACACTGACATGATACATGTATACGTGCACAGATGAGCAGTTGTCAGTTACTGTTTATTGCTTATTTTCCTCAACAGGAGCTAGCAGTGTTCCAGCATTTTTTTCTGAAGATGACTCTCAATCAAATGATTCCAGTGACTCTGACAGCAGCAGCAGTCAGAGTGATGACATAGAACAGGAGACCTTCATGCTTGATGAGCCTCTGGAACGAACCACAAATAGCTCACATGCCAATGGTGCTGCCCAAGCTCCCCGTTCCATGCAATGGGCTGTACGTAATACCCAAAACCAGAGGACTACTAGCACTGCTCCTTCTAGTACATCAGCCCCAGCAGGCAAGTTTTGAGTAAAACGTGTGCATGAATGTCAGTTGAACTCTGGCTTTGTTCCTTCCTCTGGTTTTGTTTATTCTCTTAAGGATGAAATCTTATCTATTTGTCTTAGAAGGACAGTGCTGACTTATCTTGACTGTTCCAGTTCTTTTTTTTGAATTTCAAAACCAGGAAGGATCTGTTGTAGTTCTTAAGATATGAGTATGCTTACTGTAGCTAGTAATTTTTTGCTAGTTACAGTTGTGATGTCAGTAACATTTACAAATTTATTTCTAGAAATGTTTATGATATCAGTCAATACAGAAAATATTTAGCAAAAGTTGAATAAATTAATTAATGTCATACCTTCTTTTATGTTTAGCAAGTTCGGCAGGTTTGATTTACATTGATCCATCAAACCTACGTCGGAGCGGTACCATCAGTACGAGTGCTGCAGCAGCAGCTGCAGCACTTGAAGCCAGCAATGCAAGCAGCTATTTAACATCTGCAAGCAGTTTAGCAAGAGCATACAGTATCGTGATACGGCAGATATCCGATCTGATGGGTCTGATTCCCAAGTACAACCATCTAGTATACTCCCAGATCCCAGCTGCAGTGAAACTGACTTACCAAGATGCAGTGAACTTGCAGGTAAGAACATCCAGATCTCTGTAGAGAAAGATAATCTCAATACAGTTGGATTTTTTAGGTAAAATCATAGAATTGTTGAGGTTGAAAGTGACCTCTGAAGATTGTCTAGTCTAAATTCTCCGCAGGATCAACAGGAGAAGACTGCTTAGGACGATATCCAGTTAGGTTTTGAATATTTCCAAGGATGGAGACTCCACAACTGCTCTGGGCAACCTGTTAAGTGTTTGACAACTCTCATAGTAACAAAGTTTTTTCTTGAGTTTAAATGGAATTTCCAAGTATTTCAGTTTGTGCCTATTGCCTCTTGTCCCTTCAGTGGATATCAGTGAGAAGAGTCTGGCTCTATATACTGTATACCTTTTTATCAGGTATTTATACACACTGATGAGATCCTCCTGAGTTTGTTTCTTGAGTCTAAACTGTCCCGGCTCTCTTAGCCTCTCCTTGTATGAAAGATAGTGTAGGCTGAAGTACCTGTAGTTAGTATTCCATTAAAATGTTCATATTTCATATACATATATTTTTTCAAAAAAGGAATTTCAGTTGTCTTTTTTTTCCCCAACTAAGTCTGACTGGTATCTAATTAATAGTTAAGTCAGGATTGATTGCTTTGGAGATACTGGTGATCTCTACTAGAGATCTTTTGCCCTATTCTTTTTGACGTGAACTGTTGAGTCTATAAAAGAAGAAAGTAAGGACCAAATAATTAAATGAAGTAAAAGACTTGTACAGGTAAATGTATTGTTCACTGTCCCTTCTTTCAGGGACATGATCATCCTTTCCCTGTTATGTGCATATTTTTTGGTACATTGCTCTTGACTGTCAGGATTTGAAAGTATATGTAAAATACATCTTTAGAGAAATATACCTGGAAGGGAATACTGGTATCTGGCATGTATAGAAAGAAGTTTCAGAGACTAGCAACACAGGAGGCACTGCAGTGTGTTCAAGAAGTATGTATCAACTTCCATGTGGGCATAGTATAGAGAGTGAAATAATTTGTACTGAATTTGATAGAAAAATCAACTGTCAGAATAATACTGCTGCTTTGGGGAGCCCAAGAAATCAAGTGATGCTGTTTTCTGTTAGTAGTACTGTGTGCTGGGATGTGCAAACCGGTTGACAATATATTTACTTGTAATTGAGCCACAAAGTATTTTCATGACTCTATTTTCACAGTGTGATGGAAGAAAAAGGTTTCTGATTTGGGAGAGGAACCCTACAAAGATATTCTGGGATCAAACGCTGGAGGAAATAGGCAGGGAAGAAAATAAGAGAACATAATTTTATTATGAAGGAGACTAAAATCAGTTTCTGTTCAGGAGATTCGTAGTAGGAAACTCTTACTTCTCCTGAGTAGAGATGTTTTGCAAAGGTTACCTGTTTGTCATTTGAGTGCACAGGAGAGCTGTCCGGCTGAGGCAGCAAGAGATTTGTATTAGCACGTGAAAGCTTGACAGCGGAGGTTTCATTTGGATACAGAAATGAGGTTGAGACAGCATTTTGTTAGTTAGTGGATACAAGAACATTTGAAGTGTGAGGAATATTTTTGAAGACCAGAATGTGGAGGAGTGAAGAAAGCAAACTGATGTGGGATTAAAAACAACAATAGGTCAAGGGAGTTAGCAGAAGGCAAGAAAAGCGGGCTCCAGAGCCAGTATTGGGAACAGGTGAAGAAAAGACTGGACCAGGAGGAGAGGTTTGTATGCTGATACAGTTCTCTATTCAGGTCTTAACTTTTTTTTGTCTTCACTGAGTAAGTTGCAAGGGGTGAAGAATGGTGGAAGATCCGGCTGGTGAATGCCGGGGCAGGATGAGGGCTGTTAAAGCTACTAGAAAGTCAGGAGGAATTGGACTAAAATCCCCAAGGTGTGCACACCTGGGAGATGCTGGGTGGTCATAAGGTGAGAAGAGATGCCCAAACGGGAGAGAGGGGACGGTGAGAATGCTGTATAGACACCAAGGTGTTAAGTGATGAGAGCTGCACACCACTACAGTAAATGAGCAGTCTTAATAGAGCTTTTGGAAACAGTTCATTGGTTATTCTTGAATGTGGTTTTACAGCCTCTTTGTTTGTAGGGGAATCAAGTGTAACTCTGAAAGCCATGGTGGAGGCTTATGTTGAGATTGCATTCCCATCATCTAATTCTATTGTTTGCAACACTCATTAAATCTCATTTTCTATAGAATTACGTAGAAGAAAAGCTTATTCCAACTTGGAATTGGATGGTTAGTATCATGGACTCTACCGAAGCTCAGCTGCGTTACGGTTCTGCGCTAGCATCTGCTGGTGATCCTGGGCATCCAAATCATCCTCTCCATGCTTCTCAGAACTCAGCCAGAAGGGAAAGAATGACAGCCCGTGAGGAAGCTAGCTTAAGAACACTGGAGGGAAGAAGGTATGAAAACCGTTTGATTACTGCATGCGATATGCATTACTAGTTCTACAGTCAAATCTTCTTGTTCACTGACATTTTAGGAATCTAATTTTGTAATGCAGCAGTGTAGTTACTGTTTTGATTTAAGTTGGCTTCCTGTGTTACTGCTACTATTTGGTTTATTCTGATGTACTGGATTCACATAAAGTATTAACTGTTTATAGTATACTGTATCAGAGCTGCTTATAGTAAAGCATAAAACTGTAATTGTTACTCTTATTATCACACTGGGTTTTTCGGGGGGGGTTTTTTTCGGGGCGCTGTTTGAGTTTTTACATCCATATTTCAAATACAGAGACTAGTATGTAAAGGATGCATTCCACTGTGCTGCCTAATCTCTCTGTATTCGATCCTTTTCTTTCACTAGACGTGCTACTTTACTCAGTGCCCGTCAGGGAATG